CGTAGCTCCGTCCCACTCTGGCACTGTTGCTGGCCGGTCGCCTGTCCCGCTCGCACGTGACATAATATAGAATGTTATTGATGTAATCAGTTCAATGTTTACATTGTGTGTCACGTGAAGTGAAGGTTCGTCGTTCGGTTCGAAACATTGGTCTATGGTAATTAGTTTGTCGCCTTGTGTCAGTACAATAATTATAAGAAATCAATAACTTTTTAATTTATAAGTAGCCAGTTAAGTAATTATTAAAGTTTTTTACTTACTACATTAAGAATAGAAAAACAAAAATGTATATACAAAGCAATAACAACATTTTCAAAAGATTTCCCGTCTTCCAAAGATTTCCCGTCTTCCAAAGAAAATTGCGTAATGGAGATATGTTTCTAATTGCCATCTAAAAATAATTCAAAGCTTTTGTTTACGATCTCGCGTAAACTCTTAAATATTCTCAAACTCAATCCATTGACGAAACTGGGCACTGATACTAAATAATAGATCTGTAAATATTCCTACACAATTTGTGACCATTCTTGGTATTTTAGGACTTGAACATTTACCTAATTAGATCAAATATTAGCTCTTTCAATACCCATATTTTATAGTTAATAAAACGAAATTGAAACTATAATATTTACAAAAATCATCGCTACTTCCTTTCGAATAACGAACATAAAAAAAGCAATTTCTACGAATTGTCAATATAAAGGTAATTTCATTCGTTCAATTGTTTCGACGTCGGAAAGACATATTTAATTCTGTCTTCAATAATAATAATACTTTTATCATATACTAGTGTTTTTTTAATTAATAGGGAAAGTCCGGCTTACTAGAATCAAATAAGTTATAATACTTTTAAGTTGTACTTTGAATTATTGATAAAAATTAATCAAACCCAACCCACTGATATTATTGATATTGATTTCTAAGGACAGTCCAGAGGACACAGCTTACATAATTGTATGCGATTTGTTCAAAGTCTTATATCAAACGACTCCCGCGCAGCATAAATAAAATATTATCAGTCGATTGCTAGGCTTCACCTGTGAAGGATATTTCAGGTATGTGCGTAATAATTCTGTAAAAATACATTTTGGGTTTGATCGTTAGATTCATTAAATGTTCTTAAATTTTGTTTAATAATAATTTAATATAATATATTTGTTTAAATTTAAGTTATTCCAAATCTAGGTATCGTTTCTTGAACATTATAAGGTTAAATAAAATTAAATGGACGTTGATCTTACGTCATTCATATTAATTTCTTGTTATAAATGAGTAAATTATACAATCCCAGTCTAATGTCCACGATAGGTTGAAAGCAGTGATTATTACACTTAACTTACATATATTAACATTTTTTTCTAACATTATACATATTTTATTTTTTGTATAATTATACGATTTCACAACTAATGACCAAACGCCCTAGAATGGCGTTAAGCGCCGAAGATCCTGGGTTCGAATCCCAAAGCAACAATAATCTGTTTTAGGACTCAGATGTTTCATATACAAATAATAATAATAAATCACTTAAAACAGACACAGGCGTATTGTGCCCCATGCTCCACGAGGGGTAAGTAGGGGGGTAAGGGGGTAGTTTCACTATTTAAACTTAAGTTTAAAAGTTTTTTTTTACAAAATTTATTTGTATTAAAAAAAATCTTTAATGATATTTTGCATTTAATTTTGTATTGCACCAAATTGTTTAAATTATGTAAATAATTCATCTGTGATTTTTAGAACACAGATAATGTTGAAGCTTAATGTAGTTTCACCTCAATAAACATTATCAACTTGATAACACTATCACCGTTAATTTAGGTATCTGTGTTACTAACTGGGACAAAAAAAAAACAAGAGAAAAACTGCTAAGCGATTGTCAACTTTTGAAACTCGATTTTGAATCTACTCAATTTCAAATAAAAACCTTTTCTTCACGGCATAGCACGAAAACAATAGAGGTTCGTATTGAAATCGTGTGTAGTTATTTATTTCGTCATTTACAGTCATTTTTAAATAACGAAGTCATTCGCCAACACGGAAAAATATTATTTTTAACTGCCTTTAACTACGGCCCGACGTTTCGCATGCTTGCAGCCGGGTAGGTACACAGGGAGATTAAAAGTTATCTAATATATTTCGCGTTTTAAACAGTTAAAAGCGTTCTATTTTACCCTCGTAACATTATTTATATAATTATTATCTCTCTTACAAGATTTTTTTTATTGTTGTACCTAAGAATAACGAACGATGTGGACGGGGCGTGTCAGTTCTTTGCAATGTATGAAACTCGAGTGCAAAGATGTTTGATATTCGCAGTTCATTGTTGAAAGCGCTCATTTGTTTGACTCCCTATAGACTTACACAATCGGTCTTGAGTTCTGTATATCGTGACACAGGCGTCCTCACTTCGAGCCTGGCCGTCATCCAAGATCGCGAAGACTTGGAGCCAAAGTATGTGCGAAGTCGGATGACTGTCCGATCTTATTATCCTTGGAAATCGTGTTGCTCTGAATATGATAAGTGCTTTTGTTTCCAATGTATACAATACTAGCTTCGCCGGCTACTTTGTCCGCGTAGAATAGTTACTTTGGTTATCCTAATTTGTTTTTGCAAACCTCCTCCTCACCTTTAAAAATTGTAGCTGGTACACACGGCGCTTCCCTTCGTTCTTGTAAGTTAGTGTTAAAAGATAGACGTATAGTGTCGCAAACATTTTGTAAGATCATTTAAAGAGGGATCATTCTTACCGAACATATTTTAGGGTACCTTAAACCGTTTTTGCAACGCAAACCCTCGAATACGGAAAGAAATCCCGTTTTTTTTTACACTTTCCTCCTTTGTTCGGTCCTATTATAGCCATATAGTTATAAGCTTTCCTTAATAGATGATCTTACCAACAGACAAGTCACCCCAAAAACGTGTCTATAATGAATTATTTTTCTTAAAATCATGATCATCTTTTAAGATGTACTCACGAGAACCGTTACTATGGTAACCAAATCACGTCGAAACACTTATGATAAAATTACGTTTGCTAGGCCAGTTAGTTTCAAAATTCTATGAGTATAATTGAAGAATATTGCTCCATTCGTGTGAAGGCCAAACAAGTTATCGACAATAGTCCACAAACGATTGAAAATTATTTCTGAAAACAGTTCGTTCATCTTTGCTTCGAAGGTTTTCAGATTTTAAATATTCAAATGAAGAACATTGTTTAATAAATATCAGAGTGTCAAGTGTGAGTTAAAGCTAAATGTTTTTCATGCTAATGAAAAATTACAGCGTGAAAATTTACGGCTAGAATTTTTGCGTCGTAAATTTGTTTGCTAAAGTTCTAACTTCGTTTTAATAGGTATTTGTAATATAACGCTCTTCGCGGATGCGGATTCGAAATTATGACAAAAAGGAGGCGTGGGTTCGATTCCCAAAACCCGAAGGGTATAAAATATAAAAACACAATACGATCTTTTCGGTATGATAAACATAATTTAAAAATGATTATTTACTAAGCTTTATTTAAGCTTATTTAGTATCCGAAACGTTGTCCTATAGTTAAAATAATTTGATTATAAGTTTAACTTTTAACAGGCTAAAACACGAAATGTATTCGCGTTTTAAACCGTTTAAGTGTTTTATTTAAATTGGGTATTAATAAAACATGTTTGACGTATTTGTACGAGATCATATAGTTACCCATTGATAAAGTCGTAGTTATATCAATATTTTTAATTTATTAAAAGGCTTAGCAATACCTGATAAGAACTGTTGCCCCACTGACCCATACATACCTTATCATCTCCTTGACATTCGTTTATCATTGAAATGCAGTTAACGAGAGATAATAATCTGTCTCTTGTTATATGCTGTATCGCTTTTGGGACTCTCGCCGTATTGTTCTGGAAGTTCTATTTTAAATGAAACCGATCTGCGGATGAACTTAATTGTCATTAATAATCTACTTGTATAGGTTACGGTTATAAAACACTTGTATCATCTACATTTGAGTTTGAATAATTGAGGCCGCTGGAGGCAGAGTAGCCTAACTGCAGATTTATGACTTACTTATATTTTTATAGTCTAAAAATGTTAATCTACAAGAGCACAATGATCGAAAATAGTTAATATAATTGTTACGCAAATAATAGTACACATTTATTTTGGCCTAAATTAACTGCGCATTTTTATTAACCTCCTTATTGAAAATAATGTTTGTTTGGTATTAGGCCACTCTAGCAGCCTCAATTATGGTAATTTTAAAGTTAAAATTTCAATTCTTAATTGGTTAGTAATTTATATTTTAATTAAGCTATACACAAGATAAATAAATAAACGTTGTTGACGTGTCATCGTAATCAAAAGCTTTTTGTGAAATATCCAAATATACAATGTAACTGAAATGTCGATTTTCATGGCTCTTCCACAAAGCGTGAAAATGCAATTTAGATATTTCTACTAATTGTTAAGTATATACTAAGATTTACAACGATGTTTTGTTAACGCATAGAGGTCGAGAAGATACAGAAGGACAGATAAGTATGGGGGTTGATTTGAAGGAAATTTGATACTCGAGCAATATATCATCTCATTCAGATGCGCTCTCGACCTATTTTGATATTCGGGAATCCATAGACTAAATCCGATACGCGTTTTGGTGTTAGTTAGTCTTAACCTACCCTTTTGAATTCTCTTTAACAGTTTAAACCGCAAAATATATTAGTCAAACTTAATTCCAAATTATTTTAACTACGGTCTGACATTTCGGATGCTTTGCAGCAGCCATGGTCACATGATGACTAAAGATGGAGGGATGTCTCTAATCAAAGTAAAATGTCGTTTTAAACCGTTGAGTGTTTTATTTTTATGTGTACTGCTCGCGTAAACTACAGACGGTGCCCTTTTTTATTAGACATACATTGGTACATACATTAAATCAAGCCTTAATCCACAAATCTTTCTCTTCCAGGTATTATGGAAAGGGAAGGACGAATATTTAGATAACAATGCCGGTTCTACGCAATGCTGACCATCCCGCCTCCAAAGCGACGGACTCTATAGCAGCACGTTACTTCGTTGCTGTGCTTGGGGCTTGGGCTGCTGAAGCTGGTAAATATGGTCTACAGTGATGCCAATTTAGGTGTTCCCCCTAAATTTAAAGAAACAAGGTGTAAAGGGATTTTAGGGGGGAGGGGAACAATGCGATGGCAAGTCCTAAGACTAAATCTAAAATACATATATTAAAATATTAAAGAACGTGTCCAGAAGAATATAAAGAGATAGAAGCCGGCAACCGATTATAAAATAAAGCTAATAATGCTCTAAAAGTTATGTGTGAAAAGCAATGTTCAAATAAACAAAAACACTCAGGGCAAGTAATTTATAATGAAATAGGAAGTATACTCGAGACATCTACTACTATTTGATACTAAAAATATTTTTTCAGCGACATATCCATTCGACCTGACAAAGACAAGACTTCAAATACAATCTGAAGTGGCTGCTGCAAAACATGGATATAAGGTAATTTAGTTTTTACCTATTTCTGTTTAACCTTTAAGAAAATAAAAAAATATCCGCGGGACTCGAACTCCGTCTATCGCGCTAAAAACATAGCACTAATCACGATCTTATGTAAATAGATGTCAAACAAAGTAATATAGGTCGGTAATGTATGAAAAAAATAATGTTTCTCCTTGGGGAGAACTCATTTTTGTGTGCGTTTCACTGGTCAAATAGCTGAAGACTCCTGTGCCCTGCCCGTCTGAAACATTCTATTGATTAACCGGGATTCGAACCTCGCACGTATAACTATGCTAGGCATCACTAGTCTAAGTAATATATGATATTAATTAAGACCCTATCGAAGTACGCAGGTGTAATATATTACGCAAATTACAGTATTTATTCTTTTTATTTATAGCGTGGTATTTTATTATGTACCACGTATCTTGACTATTTACAAGTTCACTTTCATTACGTAGCAAGGACAAGAGATAAGAATACTAGCATAGTAAATATTATATATGTATACGTATTGTTATATAGAGAACTGTCTCATATAATTTAAGATGGAATATAAAATTAGATATAAAAAAGTCAATACTCCTACGTATGTTACATACAGTTTGGTGGCAAGCGGGTCCAAATTAATCTTCGTAAATTTATTATTAATTTATTTATTGAACACACAAAAATTATAATAATATAAACTATATATATAAATTATAAATATTATTACTAGATATGAAATGCAATGGGCGGCCTTATCGCTATAGAACGATTTGAAATGGGAATGTGCAGGTCACGAAGAGCTTAAAAATAAAATTATAAAGTAAGGCTTATGTCTGTATTTATAGAAAATATAGCATAAGAATTACTATATTTTGAAGTTACACTGACTAGTATTCCCTATAAAATTTTTTGTTAAAACATAAGTCTCACCTACTACCAATGTGTCAACGAAATCAGACACAGATTAGTGCCTAATGCATAAATTTACTAGAATTGTATTTTATTGGAAAACTGCTGTTTTGTATATAACTAGTAATTAAAGTTTTATGCCTATTTAAAGTTTTGCGATCTATCTGTGATACTATTAAAGAAAATATCTATACTTTATTTTTACTACATCCAAAGCCGAAACAGGTCGATAGCATATCTTTATAACACTATGTTCTATTCTATTCTATTCGTTCTTAGCTAGAAAACCATGGAATGATAAAAACGGCCGTCGGCATAGCGAAACAGGAGGGCGTGTTGAAGTTATGGACCGGCCTGATGCCGATGTTCCAAAGACACGCTATTTACTCTGGAAGCCGGTTGATATTCTACGAATATTTCCGAAGCTATTTCAAGGATGAGAAGGGAAAGGTTTCGCTTGGTGCGGCATCTGTGGGTGAGAAATGTTTTTAAGTAGGTTTAAACCTTTTGTCTCTTTCACGCAAGTGTCATTGTAATGCGAGTGAAAGAGACAAAACGTGAAATAGACTCTGCAACATTGAGTAATATTATGATTTTCATATTTAGTTGAATATAAAAAGGATAAAACACTTTGAACGGCTTAAAACGCGAAATGTATTAGTTAATTTATTTTTAACTTATTTCGACTACGACCCGACGTTTCCGATGCTTTGCAGCAGCTGCGGTCACGGTCCCCATCTGATATATTAAAAGAAACTAAAATATTTTTAACGTTTAAAACCGTTAAAAGTGTTTTATTTAAACTAAAAGTAAATTAGGTATGGAACAATATAACACTCGATAAAAAGCATATTAAGTGTAGTGTTGCAGTAGATATTTAAAAATAGGTACGTTTATATTGTAATATATATATTTTTTTTCACTTTGGAAATATTGAGCTACTATTAATAGTAGTTAGTATTTAGCCTAAACTTCAATGTGCAGAAACAATCTTTTTCCAGTTGAACGACGATTGATAAGTCTTATCGCTCCGATAAGAAATATTTGGTCGAGGTCATTTGCCCTAGACACGAAGGCTTTTATTTCTTAATAAGCGTGTTTTTGTTTTGATCTGCTTCTTATCTAACATAGATGCGTCACATTTAATGGATAATACTTTTCTCATGATAGCAGTGGATAGACAAGCTAGAGGTTTTTGTGAAAGGTTTAATACCCCATTCATATGACGTCTGAATAAGATGCTCTGTCGAGTTATTTTGACTTTTGATATTACTAAATCCACAGACTGCAACTGAAACGCAATTAATAATGGATTTTTAATCTGTGGATTGTTGTTCGTGACCCCGAACGTAATTAAAATTTCTATCGCCCATTTAATGTGGCGATTTTCCAGACGGAGGCCTAAGTATTTCAGAAAAGACTATAAATGGGAATCGAACTAACGACCCTTAAATTATTAAATATTATTGCTACTATTGCATCGATAAGTCCGTTACATCTTTATAGCTGAACTTACGCACACTTGTAAATTTTAGAAAATTGTATTTTAAATTTTAACATGGGGCTGTTAGAAGCAGAGTGGCCTAATAACAAAAAACATGATTTTCAATCAAAAGGGAAATAAAAATGCACAATTAACTTAGGCAAAATTGAATTTTCCACTATTATGTTCTGTAAGAATTATATTAACAATTTTCGGTCACTGTGCTGTTGTAAATTAACATTTTTAAACTATAAAATATAAATAAGTCAGGTCATGAATTTTCGCCGCGTAGTAGGTAGGTGGTTGATAAAAAATAAATGAGCTATCACACGTAATGTCGGCTTTAATTAAAATAATCGTTTAATTGGATCGAAGTCCCACAGGTGGATTGGCTGCTGGGTCACTGGCGCAGTTGATCGCGTCTCCAACAGACCTGGTGAAGGTTCAAATGCAAGCGGAAGGCAGGAGACTGCTGCAAGGGAAACCGCCGAGGTTCTCAAACTGTCGCCAGGTGTATCTGATGCTGTACACTGAAGGTGGAATTAGGGGGTTTTGGAGAGGTCAGTTTTATGCTTAGGTATAACTGGTATTTTATGTAGTAATAAGTTGATTTTCGATTTCCGTAGCGAGGTTATAGCGATATAAAGCTAATAGTAATTGTGTTCGAAGGCTTTCAAGAGATAAGAAGTCTCCCCAATTCCTTCGTAATAGGTTAAGTATATTATCCACTTATTACTTACATGTATTATCGTACTAATTGATTTCAGTTTACGAGAGTAGTGCAAGTAAAATAAAAAAGCTTTAACGGTTTAAAACGCAAAATATATTAGTAACAACAAATTGACGTTTTGCATTGCAACAGCGTTAACAACGGCTTTATGTTTCGGGTTTTAAAGCGTTAAATATGTTTTATTTACACTTTGTATGTATGCCTTAGGAATATTTTTTCAACTTTATATACTATGACCCAATCAACCCTATGTCCTCCGTAGAGGAGAATATGGGGAAAAAGAGGAATTGATTAGCAGCAAATGTGGACTGATATCACGGCCTCCTATTTGTAAACCCAATAGAAAATAATAAAAATAAATCATTTTTGTTTAAATACTTTTTATTCATACAACTTTCTGCATTTCAGGCGCTGTTCCAAACGTTCAAAGAGCAGCCCTGGTGAACATGGGCGACCTAGCAGCATACGACTTCACGAAGCAGTACCTCATCAGGGAGTTTGGATTTGCGGATACAGCGTTAGTGCATGGTGCTGCTGCCTTCAGCGCTGGTTTCGTTGCTGCTGTGATGGGCACTCCAGCTGATGTACTGAAGACTAGGCTAATGAACCAACCCGTTGGGCCTGATGGAAGGTAACACTTGGTTATTCTATAAAAATAAATCTGCTTGAATACCTAAAACTATTTTACAAACTTGGTCTTTTTAATTTTCATACATCACATGAGGCGGAAACATTTCGTGGCCGTTTTATGCTTAAAAATCTTGGATATTTTTCTAATGTAATTGATCAAGTTGGCAATATATAAATTAAATTATATTTAGTATGAAAAAAATTGTAAGACACGAACGGGACTTGTACCGGCGTCCACAGTATTAAAGAAATACCTCGTGTAGCTATAATGATTTTAAAAATAATTTAACTAATACGTTTCACGTTTTAAAACGTAACTAGTTTTGTTTAAATATAAAAAAAAAAACATTTGAAGATTAAGCAATTTCAATTTGTTTCTTTTTTCTTATTAATAAAAAACATATTACGTCATTTAAAAGAACAATCGCTTCGTAGTTAATTTTGCATACATATCATTGAATGAAATTAAATGTAACTATTTTAAACATTTATGTTCTGGTAAAATAGATAAGCTTTCTTAAACACGCTTAATCGTCTCAGTATTGAAAAATAATATTTTACATATATACATAACACCTCTTTTTTAGTCTTAGTTATCTTATTTTAATTTATTTTAACTATGGCCCGACGTTTCGGACGCTCTGCAGCAGCCGTGGCGTGAAAGTGTTTTATTTAGATGTTATTCGCGTCAGTTGACACCACATATTACAACAATAATAAGTGAGTACTAAGTTTGAAAGTCATATAAATCCCTCGATCACCTTTAAAACATTCATGACCAATGACGAATCGATCGATAAACGTGTGTCATAGCATAAACCAAGTGAATAATGCATTTCATACAAGAACGAGCATTTGTAAATTGAAAATAAAGTAACTTTTATCGAACGACATTAGCCCCTAATGGCTTCCACGAATGCACGCGCAACGTAATTGGGTCATTGCAGTTCTTGGAAAATAAGTATCAAATCTGAAACGATGTTACAGTTTAGAGCTTTTTAATGTTTTATAATTTTGTAAGTAAAGGACATTTGAGGCTACTAGAGGCAGAGGCCTAATAACGCCTCTGCCTCTAGTAGCCTACACCTACACGATTTTCAATAATAAGGAAATTAAAATGCTCAATTAATTTGTACTGTTATTTGTGTAAAAATTATGTTAACAATTTTTGGTCACTGTGCTTTTGTAGATTAACATTTTTGACTATGAAAATATAAATAAGTGAAGTCATAAAATTACTCTACCTCTAACGGTCTCATATATAATACAGTTGGATTACATTAATAGCCATATTATTATTTTGAAACTGAAAATTCAAAATTACTATTTATTTGTATAAATCTACTCTACTACTATTACATTACCATATTTTTCATTAAAAATCAATTTAAGATTGAAAAAACTTACGATAAGGGCATAGCAATTATGCTACCCTGTTAGATCTTGTTTGTTTGTTAGCGTGTTGTGGGTAACAGCATGGGTCGCTGTGGATGCCGGTTCAAGTATATTTCAACCAAAAATTGGTTTTTAATTTACCTGCTGTTATTGTAAAATACGGAGTCTTTATGTAAGAAACGGATCGTACGTGCGGTTCGAAATAAAAGTTTAAGGAAATACAGATCGAATCTCAGTGCAAACATTCCAAGTGATACCAGAATGCATGTGTCATACGCGGAATCGATGTCCCGCTGCAAGTGTGGGCTAAGTAGGTGAGTAGCGCAAACGAGGTCATTCAACGGGGTCAAAGTCGGGCCCGCGAGAACCGTGCTCAATGTAACTCCGTTTTGCTTTCGCTTTCGTTTCAAATACTCCAGACCTCCGAATAATTTAGCCTCTCATGAAATACGTCGTAGTTTAAATAAAACTTTCACGGTTTAAAACGAGATATATATTAGTTTAACTTATTTGAAAATTATTTCAACTACGGCCCGGCGTTTCGAATGCTTCGCAGCAGCCGCAGTAGCGGGGAATTTAAATCCCGTTTTAAACCGTTAAGTGTTTTATTTAAATGTATTTTACTCGCGTAAACTACAGACAGTATTTAAGTCATAGTTGTTTATGATTTTACGTGCAGTTATTACAAGAATTAATTGGATTAAAATTAATGCAAGAAAATAATCTATTTAAAAATTTCTGAATAAAATGTTCAAGTTTATTAATACTTGAATTTTCTTAGACATAATTTATCTGAGTTTATTGATCGATTAGTGTGGTCTGTACATGACTGGTGCAAATTAGAAAAACACTATGGAACTGTTAAAAGGAAAGCAAAGACGACTGCAAAGACACTACAAAACATTCGAAGCGTCGGATCGTAGTTAAAAAATATATCTTACGTAACAAGAGGACACCGTGACTTAGTAAGGACTAGCTAGCTTCTCCAAACACCAACTACCAGGAAAAAGATGGCGCTAACGTAGCAGATTTTACTTAAAATTTGCGACACTTTTCATCTTAATACATCCGAAACGCCATGCCATAGTTAAAATAAATTGTAAAGATGTTAGCTTATATATTCCGCGTTTTAAACCTTTAAAACTTACTACTCGCGTAACCTACAGACAAAACAAATGTATCTTTTTACTAGGAAGGATCCAATAATTTTAAATGCACTAAACAACACAGAAAAACTCTCCCTATAGACTATAGTAAACATTGAATTAAAACAGATTGACAAAGCTATCGCTACAAACAGAACCATTTGTCTACCCGTCCTTACCTTTTGTTAAAGTTTTTACATCATTCCAGGGGTACGTTGTATCGCGGCATGATCGATTGTCTACAGCAGTCGGTCCGGAACGAGGGGATACTGTCCCTATACAAAGGGTTCCTGCCTCTGTGGATGCGGCTGGGCCCTTGGGCTCTTATCAATTGGATCGCGTTTGAAAACATCATGCTGGCTATAGGGGGACATACGTTTTAGAAACAAAATGTAGGTACTTTTGAAGCGAAAACAATTAGTTAAGCATTGTTTTATGATTATATATATGCGGCTGCTAGAGACAGAGTGGCCTAATAACAAAAATCCTAATTTTCAATAAGGAGGAAAATGACAATGCGGAATTAACTTAGGCGAAAATGACTTAACTATGATTTGTGTAAAAATTAATATATTTAGACTATGAAAATATAAATAACTCAAGTCATAAAATTGCAGTTAGGCTACTTTGCCTCTAGCGGCCTCATATATATTGAACTTTTGCCCCATTTTTTAACTGAAGGTGTGATGTTTAACGCCCACGTCGGCCAATAGTGACGTGTGGAGTGTGGTAAATCGTACTACATACAACCTCTTCGGAGACCATAGTCGACCAGAATCACTAAACACGCCACCAGCTCGCTACGGTGCTTTTGAGGAAAGTGGGGATATGTTTAATGGTGACATTACAAGTTGTGTACAGTACGGATAAAACCATATTATACAGTTTTCAACAAAGACGACCTTTAAATGAGACATAAGCATCGCTTCTACAATAAATAGACCGGTTTAAAATTTGGAAAAGATGCTAAGCCGATTTGTTTATTCTATTTTGACAGGAGTTAGTAAATATATGTAGCTTAGCTGAAGTCGAAAATAATTACCATTTCTAAATGACATTTTTTATCTTTTAATTTAGCACGAACTTAACCTTGAAAAAGCTAATAGTAATAATACAATGAGTTAGCTGATTTTTAGCTAAAGCCAAACTTTTATACTTGTTCATATTGCCAAGAGTTCAAAGACAAACATACATACAGTATAATTTTTATTGTATTGATTTTCACTATGGTCATTTTATTTATCGCGGCCAGTTGTCAAATCCACAATCTCAATTTGACATTGTGCCTGTCAAAAAATACTGCAGACATAATGTATAAGCTGGCAAACTAAGGTGAGGTAAGATGTAATTTTCTTGTTTTAAATTATTTGTTCAGTGGGTTGTGTGGTATAATTTATTTTAATAGGGTTCGAATAAATTTTAGGAGTCACAAATGTTGTGTGGGATGTGTGTTTCCATAGTTTACGCGAATGGTTTAATAAAACACTTTTAATCTATAGTCATATCTTAACATCAATAAATTAAATATATCTGTACATCAAATACTGTCTATAGTTTACGCGAGTAGTACACATTTAAATAAAACACTTTAACGGTTTAAAACTCGATATATTAGTTAAACTTATTTGAAAATGATCTTTAACTTCGGCCCGACGTTTCGTAGGCTTTGCAGCAGCCGTGGTCACGGGGAGACCATTAAAGTGTTTTATTTAAATATCTGTACATCTTCATTGATACTTTAAAACAATAACAGTGTGCCTTTTTGAATTTGGTGTTTCCATAGACTATTTACCCGTTGTGAATAAAGTTTATCATAAATGGCATAACAGTGTTGTACCCCTTTTATAAGTTTTATTTGTTCAATAAGTGTTGCTATGTTCAAAGAAATATGTGCAATATTACGCAGAAATTCGCTTTAAGTATACAAATGTTTAATTAGTCATAGATTTTAAGAGGTACTGCAGTGTAGCTTACTTGGAATGTGATATCAGAATAAATATTTATTGTTGAATGTTTTTTGTTTAAATTTTAATTATATAAGTTTGTAATAGTTGCTGGTCCAGACGTGGGAATGATGCAGCGGACAATATCAGGGTAAAGTAATACTAGTTTTTAGGTAAAAACTAAATTTATTATTATATTAAGAATATTGCTAAAAAATCTTAACTACACACACAAAGTTGGGACTGTGTAAGTCAATACATAAGTGGTTCCAACTATGTATGTAATTTTAGTATGATCTATTTCCCGTTTTTGTCATCAAAAGTGAACAAAGCCCAGCTATTAAGCTAAGAAAATTGTAAAAAAGTAATATGTATGAAAACTGACTGAACGATAAAATAAAACCCAAAATACAATATTAAATTTATTAGTAAAAAATATTATACATCTTCCACAATATTGGAGAATCATAACTTAATCATTTAAATATTTGATTATCATAGTTTATAGCACTTCCGATTTATTAAAACATGCCACCTTACATCTACAGCGAGAAGCAGAATATTGTTTGGCTCATCTCAATGTCCACGACTTTCTTTCCAGACTTGCTGCAAACATTTAGGATGAAACATCGATATACGCAGAAGAAATGTTATCCTACATTTTACGCCATAACCTGGCCTATACTCCGATAAATATAGTAATTTTGGGTACATTACAATAACAAAAATAAAATATCTACATTGAATTAACGAGCACTCAAAGTTATTAATTTCAAAGTCTTGACTATATATTGTTTAACGCTAGCTAAGTACAGCGGCGATGTGCCACGTGGTTATTCTTGCCGAATATTAGACATATTATTACAATATCAATTATCGTATTAATTTTTGTAGTGCCTACCGACTACAACGTCCCTAAGTTAAAAATGTATATTTAGGTTAAAAATTTAAACATCAATTATTGATTATTTATACTCATCAATCGTTAAAACACTCAGGCAACGTCGAATCGACACCGGGAAGCTTAAAAAGCGCGATGCAATATAAAATTTTCCTAAAACCCTCGCTGTACAAACGCCCCAATATCAAAAACGCCGGTATAAAAACGAGCACGCGAACGTTAAAAATTAGGGTTACTTTGTGCGCAAACGCAATAGCCCAGTTTCATAATCCTAAACAGGAACCGCAAATGAAAGATAAGCTGGTAGTCAATAAAGCTTTGCGAAAAAAAAACTCGTTTTGTATTCGAGTAGATAGATCCATTACTATGTCTCTTGTACTGGTCAATCTTACTAAACGACAAGTAGTTATTCAGACCGAAATGTATACCCATATTGCATGCTAGACAACGCGTTCAATCATTCTGGTACGCATGGGAAGTAGTTATACCACGATAAAAATCTTGCTTACCTTGCTCTACTTCTGTAGAAGCACAAAATATATTTTTTAATGATAGAGAAGGACAGACAAGCCCAGCCAATCTACACAAGATGCGCTGTCGGCCTTTTTTGGCTTTGGATATTCGGAATAGCACTACGTTTTTTCTTATCCGGACCATTTTGTAATCTACAGCACATTAAAACGTAGGCATAACTGCTGTAAACCAGGCAAAGATCTGTACTGACGACCAGCCTAAATTCCGAGACGAAACCATTCGACTGGGACATAATCTAGGCTAAGAAGCTTCAAGAGACAAACAAAACACGTCAGTAGCTAACACTAAACTGGATACGTCGTTTGTGAAAGTAAAAATCGCGAACTTAATCTATCGCCTAACTAGCATGTAAAATGGTAAATAATGAGCATTATAGACTAATAGAGGGATAAATAATGGTCACACATAAAAATCACATTGCGTATGAATTTCGGGCACAACTCAGCGGAATAATCCCACGCACTATACTAAGCATATCGTAACATAACATTCTGGCACGTGAAACGGACATATACTAATGACTGTAAATTTGGGGGGGGCATGTTCTCCCCCCTAATAGTCGCGTGATGATTAAATTCGATAAAAAAAACTTTTGTACTAGCAGAAATGATGCAAAGTGAACCCGATCGCAAAACCAAACGCCGACTTATTATAACCATTACAGCTGAGATGAAGCACCATAAAACATTACTCAAAGAATACTACTCTAGACGGCATTTCGTTAATACAAACCGTACGCTATTTACAAGCCCACATCAAGATAGAATTTGCCGAAACTCTCGCTCCCGCACCGATTAAGATCCGAAAAATGAAAACATTATTCAAAATTTATATTAATGTAAATAAAACATTTTTAACCGTTTAAAACGCGAAATATATTAGTTATTTTATCTACAACGCAACGTTTCACTCACAGCAGCCGTGGTCACGGGACACATAAGGTAATATACACCGCGTTAAACCCGTAAACTGTTTAAAACGCGAAATGGATTTACTTCATCAATAGCCCCACGTTTCAGCTACAGCAGCCGCTAATCACGAGACTCATAAGATAATATAATTCGCGTTTTAAACCGTTAAGTGTTTTATTGAAATATGTACTGCTCGCGTCACATTACAGACAAAATGTTCATGAATGTTTGAATCAGCCATACGCACATTTTTTTCGATATGTTAACCACAAAACCTTTGTCAATAACAAATAAATGTATGTAAATACAAATCTCAAACTGTTCCCTCCGCCATTTTGATCCGATGTCAATCTATGAGCGAGATGCGAACCGTTATTAAAATGTATTTAATATAATAAGAACGCACTAACACTCATCTACGATTAGATACAAACAATAGATATACATGGTACTAATAATTATTAAGATTTGGATGTTAAATGTCATATTTCAAATAGGTTTTAATGGGTAAGCCAATTTAACTGGTCAAAACGCGATGTATTGTTTAGATAGAGTTTGAATCGATGTTCGAATTATATGTTGCACTTCAGAACAAAACATCGCGCTGTAAAAAGTTAATTGGAACAACTACAGACATTTCAAAATTACTTTCTAATGTATACCTAATATGTGTATTAGATATTATCGATTAGCAGTAAAAGCGTCAATTTTACACGTCCCAAATTTGGGGTATTTGCATAATACACAATTAACGTCACAATTACGTTTGGCAATAAACAACGACCTCCGCCTGGAAGTAAGGAGTTGAGAGTGATCAGGATTGGAAAGATGTCGAGATCCGTTATATTCTAAATTCAAATAAATTTGGAATCCGAAAAAGCAAATTTGAATTGAGAATTAGAAAGAATTCTAAATACAAAATACACCGTTCTCAGGTGAACGATATTAGGAATCGAAAGACAATTTCAAATTTACTTGAATTTAGATTATGAATAGTGGGACTTTACGACCCTTGGCTTTTGGCTACTTTTATATGTAGCATCTGATTGGGCCGTAAGTAAATAGGTAAAGAAGGTTTATATTAGCAAGACACCACACCACCATTAACCATAAAGAAGCAACTAGCCGAATAATGTAAAATTTACTTTTACTTTCTTTGTAAATGTACCAAAAACATACATTATGTATGAGCTTGTGTAACGGCCTTTGACAGACAATAAAATCTTCAATATTTAAACCTTTCTTAAGGTTAGTTATAACATACTGTAAATTTATATTGTTCTACGTAAGTACTTTATAAGATTCACTTTAGAGACAACGTCGTCTCAATCAAACAATTTTCATGTTTTGAGGAAAATGAACAAAGTTTTCACCAGAAATAGTGAAATAAGGCTGTGGTTAATATCCGGATAGTTGCTTTTTGTAGGGAAATGGGTGTTTAGAGCGATGGTGGCGCCAGCATCACGGGGATAGGTAGGCGGAGCGTGTTTCGGTTCCGGAGCTATGAGTGATACGCGGTCACGTACGACGCCGGGAACAAACCGCGGCGGTGCGCGATCTCACCCTGAAATAAAAAAAAATATTCAAACAGCACATCACAATTGACGATGCGAGTCTAGTGTTAGCAATGTTTGACTTATAATTATAGACCCGTAAAGGGTTCGATTCTCGTTGGGTACATGTTTAATAATTCGTCTGAAAAATGTGGACATTTAATGGGTGGTAGGAATATCGAAATTACTTCCGGTCCAGGAGTCGACTATTTTATGGCTTGGACTTTTTTTTATCTTCCACTAAATAGGACCCCGTGATTCTTTATCTTCTGATTTAATCTTCTTCGTAAAACTTTTCTTTAGCATATATTTATTCTCACATAATGTAATTTTAAACATAGTATATACCTGCCACCAGTGCTGGTCCGAGCGATCTAGAACCGTGATGACATCGCCTCGCCTGAACTCCAGCTCACCAGCCTCTTGTGGTGTGAAGTCGTACAGAGCCTGAACGAGCATCTGAAAGATATATGTCAAATTCTTATTGGTAATAGTTTATAAAACAAACTAATATTTGTTTTAATAAAGACAATATAAAGTTATTGTAATGTGTTAAACATCACAGCGAAAGGAATCACTTATCGCGAAAGAACAAAGAAATCATATAAAATGCTTTTTATAAATGTTTACATATTTTCAGTCTATTTATTGCCACAAGCAGATACAAGCAATGCTGGTCAAACTAAGACAGATATTGGTAGAGCCTTCCAATTCTTAGCTGTCGTAATATGAACCAGATAATCTGTATCTAAGTTTTATAAAGGTGATGATGATCATAACGGTAGATTGTTGAATTACCACGCAGTTTCCAAAATGTGGTCGATAGAACCTTAAAGAACATTATAGAATACACTTGAAAACTTTAATATTTTTACATCCGGCACATGATGACATTATAGTAATTAGAAATCTATTTAGATGGAAAATATTTGCGATACGGGCGGGACTTAAACCGGAATAGCGTTCTGGGCTGCTACTCTAACCAATTGAGCTCTTTTTTTTATTTTGATACAACGCTATTTCCATACTCTTCAAGAAAGAACAGAAAGCGCAAATGCCAACCAAAAGTTGTCTATACGGAGCTATTTCAGAAACCAATATGATGTAAGCGCGGACGCAACGCATACGCAGCTAGCGCAATGATGGAACGCAGATTCAGTTACAAATATATTTATTAACCTAGATATTTCCAATGTGCTCCAGTTTTTAATTTAATATGAGGATTGAATTGGACAGAAAAATTTACATATTAACGTTGATTTTCTATTGGGTATGATTTATACAAATTTCGAAAGTTTGTATACAACGAAATTAAGTTAAATTAGATTTTTCGCATGCAAGTCTATAAAGTTAGACGAAGAGGTGTAACACTAGTTATTAATACGCCCGAACAAAATACGTTTTTACATAGATTTTCATTTTTCTTCATTATTGGCTCAAATAATATATGTTGTGTTAAGCAGTTAAGGTATAGGATTCGACTCGCAAAGAAATATTATTTGCCCACAGAAGTTTGATCAACTTGTCTGTAGAATGGCCCACAACCGAATACCCATCTTGCATGAAGATTATTATTTTATTTGTCATATATAATTAACGGCACGTCTTTCCCACAGAATAAAAGACAGAGCTGAGTGGAAATTGGAGTCGAAACTGTAATCAAAATGTAAAAAATATGTAAAGAAACAATAAAGCTTTTTATTTTTTATTTGTAATTGTAATGTATCGCCCAAAGGGCCCAGCCCGGCAGCCGGTATGCAGTGTCCGCAAAATAAGAACACAATACGATCTATTTCTGTTCCGTTATCAGGGTCACGCACGCCGCACTATTTACACACGCTCCGTTGCTATGGATAAACAATTTCAATTCCAATGTCCTCCATATGTCTTTGTTAGGGGTGTCAAAACAAAAAAAAAACGCCTACATTCTGCGAGGGGCCCGAGTCAATTAGGGAGAGTTGCTTTGATTCTTATAATAAAAACAATATTTGTGCCAGGGCCAGCTGCTAGAGATTAATACTCATTTTAAATTGTTGGTGTAATTTTAAAGTATACAATATACTTATTCAATGTTTAAACATTGATTTTTCCTGATAAATAAAAAAACCTTCTTTCAAAATTTCAAAAAAGCACGGCCGGGGCCCAAACTCACAACTAACTACTGTTCCACTTGAGTCTCGTGTAGAGGTTTAAGCCCACCCGGGCCATTATTATTTCACACAATTAACTTTCAATACATATGGAAAGTTATAACCAAGCTGTATTTATGTTGCGAAAAATCTTGTTAACGGTTTGTATTATGTTGAAACTGAATCCTTTGGCTTCAAAGGCCCTTAAAAACCAATTTCCGATAAACCGTAGACAAATAGTGATTAAATTTGTTAATTACGCTGTCGCCAACCCTATTATTAATGGAAACAGTACGACTTTCCCTGTTTGCCCTAATTGATTGAGAGTTTACTTTGTCGACTGCGTTCGGGACTAAGTTGATTTATTGATCATGTTGTTAATTTCACTCTCCCGAGTGGGGTATGGGGAGAGCTTTACGTAATTTGAGCTCCGATAAAAAGACGAAGGTTGCAGGGCTTCGAACTTATTTTCTTAAGTTCACATTTCTATTTAATTACCACCATTTTTGAAACCACCATTAACGGAATGGTGGAAATATTTTCATTTAATTGTGTGTCATTAGAAAAAAATGTATCTTTCTAATTTAATTTTTTATTTTACTTTCGATTTTTAAATTATATAGTGCCATGTGCCAAAATATGTGAAAAATATTAAAGTTTTCACATGTTTCTTTCTGTTAAAGTACATGTCACAAAAATTGAGCCTAAGACGTCAGTGTATTTATGAGAATTCCTTCCGCAATAATAAAAGTTATAATAATTCCTTTTGCGAGATTTTTCTCTACAAGTTTATTAGTTAATGCACATTAACAGTTTCTTGACCTGACCTCCAATCCACTTCGTCTCTGACCTCCAAGAGGGGCTATTACAATTTAGAATTACATTCTTAGCTAATGATATAACTTTTAAAATATTTCTACGTCTAATACGCCAAATACTGGCTTACTAATGTTTATTAATTTGGTTTTTAATTATTTAATATACTTAGCTGTGTTCAATCTATACTAATATATAAATCTGATGAATTTGTTTCTTCGTATGTTTGAACGCGCTAATCTCCGGAACTACGGGTTCGAATTGAAAAATTATTTTTGTGTTAGTTAGAGCATTTATCAAGAAAGGCGATTATTTGCCCTGTGACTAATACAAGCGAAAAAGCAGCAGCGGGAAATGTTAAAAAAAAACTGGAGAAATTTTTCATCTCTGTGGGTTTCCAATACGGTTTCAGTACGCTGCGAAAACGGTTCAAGATACCCAAAAACATGCAAGAAAGAATGATTCCTTTTTAAGTAATCGAAAAAATATCCGCGACCCTATGTCGATGTCGGATAGCAATTTAAATAAAGATGAAGAGAAGGTTTGCAAAAACAAATGTGGATGCCCAAAATAACTATTCTACGCGGACAAAGTCGCTTACACAGCTAGTATATACTTCGTGTACATTTATCGCAATATTAAACGCGTAAACTATAGACAGTATGTATCGCAATAGTTTAATTAATATATTAAAATAGCAAATTCTATTGTTATCTATTTCCATGACGATATATAAATTTCTTTTGTTTATGCCTATATAATAAGGGCATTGTTTTTGAGATCTGCATTATCTAGAATTCATAAAAAAATATGTATTGTTCGTTTGTGAACTCTTATTCTAGCGTTGTAAAAATCCGTCTAGAGGTCTAAGTTATTTTATCTTTTATGGAAGTAACATTATAAAAAGCCTAGGGGGCTATGTCAATATTGAATCATTAATGTTGGCCATGTTTAAATAAATAAAAAACATAGAAACCGTATCTCAAATTGTAGCCAAATAGCACTTCTACCCGTGCACATCGATTTTTAAAATCCAAGATAGTTCGTCAATTTGTGACGTGTAATGTGTAGCGTTCGTTAAGTTATAATAAAGCATATTAATAGTGTATCCGAGTTAGGGAAAACATTAGCTCTAAGCTAATTTTGTTTGAAAATTAACGGTATAGTGTTTCAGTCGTTGCCTTTATGAAGATTATTATAACTACGTACTACTAAAAGCCGGGATAATTTTAAAATAAACCCGGGCCGTCCCGCATTACAAATTCTTAGTTATCTCCACTTGGAGGGAAAGAACAATAGCCATTAATATGGGTCATAGGTTAAGTTTTGTTCTCGGTATGCTCGTGATAAAATTATCTCCATTATTTCAATTAGCCAGCTGATAAAGGGAATGAGGGCTAAAAATATTATACTTTATGACTTTTGAATTATTGATTAGTCATTGTTTTTTTTACGAGAAAAATTATCAGACGGACATTAAAACGGTTTAAAACGATATGTTTCGCCCTCATCCAAAACGTACAAATTATTATAACTACTGCTCGAGTAGTTATAATAATTTGTACGTAAATCAGTTTAAGTAATACATTTCTCGTTTTAAATCGTTCTTTTAACGTGTACTACTCGCGTATACCACACAGCGCGTTTATCTTTTTAAATAATTTGCTTAAAGATTATTTGCTATAGAGATCGTTGATATAGTTAAAAATTTTTCATTACTTCTGGTGATATATATTTTTTTAACATTAATGTATTATAAACTCACTTCCTTTTTACTTTAGGGAAAGCCATCTATGTATAAATAATATAATTTACTATTAAGCTGATTTAGTGGTTGGGTACTCGACTGCAGATCATGAGTTTCGAATCCTTGGTCGGGCGACAAGTTACTTCGGTATTTAGAGTTTTTAATTTTGCAAGATAAAGTGAATAGATAATGCACGGACGCGGCATGCATTGTAAGAATTACGCGGGGAGTGTAGTAAATTGTACTACACGACTTTTTGAGTCAAACAGTATTGTTTGAAGACTGGAATCTTGAGCAGTAGTTTTTGATACTCGAAGACGTTCCTAAAATATAAAAAAAAATCACCTCTTCAGGAACAACGTCGCGAAGTTTGACATCTTGGAGGCGGCTAACTGAGGCGGTGCGGTGGTAATCCACCAGCTCATTTAGGGAATTGAACTTCACCACCCATAGGAAGAATTTGCTCGACGCATCCCTTAATACCTTGAAGTGCTGGACGCCGTCTGGGCATCTGTGGATTTTTATAGCGGATACTGTTTATTAGAGAGTAATAATTTTATAATTTATATTTTAAACAGATATTGTATCATCGCGATCAAAACTAAATTCTAACATTAGATAAAGAGGTAGGATTAGACGAAAACTGCACTAGAAATTAATAATTGTAAAACACTTTATATTCAAAGAAATGTGTCCTTATAGCCTATGGCGACTTCTTCCAGACAAATTTTGATTACAGGTGGGCCAATTGAAGAGTAAAGCTAAGTATAAGAAGCAGTGCAATAAATTATAACTTACAACAAATATAATTACTAACACAACAAAAATGTATACCCACAGAAACACTAAGACCTAAATACAATTTATTCTAACAGTTCTTAATTATAAGCCTAATTGAAATGTAGAATTAGAACATAAAATATTATCTAATATTAAACAACTTTAACTAGTTCGTGTTTTAAATATATAAAAAAAACTGTAATATTAACTCAAATATTTTCAGACCGATCAATTGAAAAAAAAGTATACACTTTACATTTTACATCTATGTAACAATAGTTTTAATTCTTGGAACAACGTTTTCTGATGGCTACACTAAGCTTGTTTCGCATCAAAAGGTCTACGCTATAAGACGCTTAGATTAGTCCCCATGCTCGACCAAAAAATAGAGCTTAGTCCGCAGACGAGTTAGGGAAATAAGTACCTTTCCCCCACTGTGTTAAGTTGATAGTGGTGTGACGTAGGCAAAGAATGCACGCCTCGAACAATAGCAGTTTCATGTTGAAATGCTAATGCTGTGTTTCCATGTACAATCCATATTCCACTCTTTATTATTCAAAAACGCACATCGCTTAGATCACATCCAAGTAGTTGATCTCATGAAAATTAATGCCCAAGTACTTCCTATCTTGCGCATTGAATAAAAGCATATTATTTACGCAAGTCTAACAAAACAAGTAGATAATCCGCAAATCGATAAAAATAAGCTTACTTATCGATAAAAATAAAACATTAAAATACTGGGACTTGTTTACTCCGTCGGTGCGATAAACGGGAATATTTTCCCTATAATTGGATATTTTTCCAATGCCAAGAATCAAGGGCTGTAGAACGAGATTATTTTCCAATTATGTGAGTGAATCATTTTCAATAGGTATAGGTACTTTCCATACCTACTGTTATATAGATGATATTATCTGAGACACGTTAGAAACAAAATTTAAGTAACGTGAGAAAATAACCGCAATATTTGATCTTTACTAATAATAGTTACTGCTATAGATCGACCGATACGATCTTAAGTGAGATCTTACGACGAAATTTGGCCCTTTGAGCCGGAAGCTTTCCAATCTAGAGTAAAGACGTCAAAATTAAAATGATATATCTTGATATTTGTCATCATACAATATCATTAGCATCTACTATACATATTGTAATATATACCTATCGATATGAGTCGGCCTTTTTTTTGCCAGTCAATAAGTTGAAATTGACGAAAACAAAGTCATGTCTAATAACGTCCATTAATTAACTAGCTATATGTAAGATTATAATCAGTTAATGCCCCGCTGTTTTGTTGTTAGGGGACGTAATTAAATGAGGCTATTCTGCAGGACGAAGTTACGTTTAATGTTAGCTATAAACTGTTTTAATATACAGACAATTAACTATTACTGCAATGCATCTTATATACATTTTATAGTGTCTTTATTAATACATTAATAATATCATAATTAATTGTTAATAACTAAAAAGCTTTTGACGGTTCAAAACCGAAATTAAATTAATGTTTTGATTATGACCCGAGGTTTCGTGCTGCTTACAGTAAAAAATATATACGGTTTTAAACCGTTACGTGTTTTATTTAAATGTGTATAACTCGCATAAACAATACTTTATCAAAGCTCTTTTAAACTAAGATAATTAACACTAAATTTTTAGCATCAAATCCCTATAAATGTTTCACTTAACCTCTCAAAATGAAATTTGAAGATAAGACGCTTCAAATTAAATAAAATCTCAAACATTAGGTATATTTGAGATTATAGCAGAGAATTTTAGTATTACATAAATTGCGCAGTTCAAATATTTCCTTTTCCTGTACAGATATGTAAGTGAACCGAGAATTATCTACGTGAATTATAAATATTTGAATTATGTATTGCGGCCCCAAATGTAGTCAATATACATAAGAAACCTCATATGAATCACCGATAGACGAAAACTGGTTTCAGCTCGAGTTCAGCGTGATTCACGCAGCGAGATATCGAACCAGTTGTTGCAAAGAAAATCAAATGAAAAGCATATCTATAGATTTTCATATCTTATAATTGGTTCGCGGGAACATATCTAGAATTCCAATACTATTAATTGCTTTAAAGATACCAGGAGAACTACATCATCTTAAAAAATGTCTCGTGTCATGGATCAAATTATTTTTATAATTATGGCTCATTGCTATGGCAATGACTTTGTAAGACTTTTAATAAAACAGTTCAAAATTTAAATAAAAAATAGTTCTATTTTCTTACAAAAAGTATCTAATTTACTAGATTTCTGACATATTTCAGGGTATTTTTATTGTACCTTAAAAAAGTAAATCTCACTAGCTGTAAAAATATTCATCCACACTAATATTATAAATCTGAGTATCTAAGAGTTTATTTGTTTGGAGAACTGGAAAAATTCATCTTTTTGCGTTTCCGTTGCGTGTGTTGCGAAACCGGTTCAAGAAACAAAAAAATATATATAAAAGCATAATTGATAAATGATGGAAAATGTCTATGACAATATACGTCTATCTTTTAAAATTAACTCGCAAGTACGACGGGACGCGGGCAATGTCCCGGGTAACAGCTAGTATTTCAAATTTGTAAACTTAAAATGTAGTATTTTATAATATCCCAGTAGAAAATCTTATATCCCATATCTTGGACGATCTCGAGTAAAGTGTAAAAGAATGCGCTCATATTGTTTAAAAAAAAACTTGCCCCCCAGATACAGGTGAAATATTTTCACTCGTAATATCTTCCACGTGTTTATCGGCACGTACAAAATGCTTCAACGGATATCAACTGTATGTGTAAACGGTGTATCAATGGATTCGTTTTGGTTATTCGAAAGATTACGAACATTACAACTCGATGCACCTACACAAGGCTTAAGCATCTTTTTTTTAATAATAGAGGAGGACAGACAAGCTTGGGGTTCAATTGATTGGTGATGCGCTATCGACCTATTTTGGCTTTGGATATTCGGAAATCCACAGAGTGAAACCGAATCGCGATTAAGCTTCACGGCTTTTTCATCTGTGGACGTTCGTTCGTGACGAGGACGGAATTTCTATCTTCCTACCACCCTTTTAATATCGAGATTTCCAGACGAAGTCCAACATGTTTCAGAAAAATTATAAATTAGAAACGGGTCCATGTTGGACCTCGTGGGGACCGAACCCACGACCGGCCATACATTGCCACCATTAGACCAACGAGCTCGTAAATGTTTATACATGAATCGGAGATTTCTTAAATTTTGTCCGTTTGTCACGATTGATCTTTGGAACTGCTGTACAATAAGTTTTTTGTAACACAAATTGGTATTATTGAATCTATAGTTGTAATTTTTCTTAAGAAATTCTAATTAAATGAAAATGTATGACGCTGCTTAGGCCTTTGAGAAACACAAAGTGACATATATAAAATTTCCTGCTCAAAGTATAAAAGCTAATACGTAAGGTTCGAAACAAACTAATTATTGTTAAAAAGAGATAAAAATACGGTCTAAAAGGTCATAATATAGACATAAGCTTTAAAGACAAACATAATTGTGTGATTCACGTAAATATTGGTTCCTGAGCGTACAATTTAAAAATCCACATCGAACATGATATAGAATGTGGTTTTGTTAGTACAAGTCTGGTGTATCTCGTGCATGAGTCACAGCGAGGCGCTAAACTCATTTTTTTATCTACCAATTTAACTCCGAACAGAATTGATTGCGTCTTGACGCACGGCTAAAGAGAACGTTGATTACCCATGGCGATCGTCACGTGTACGTCAAACGAGCTTCTATGAAATCGATTCTTTGCAGAGAAATTACGAAATCATTGTGTCCTCGTGTAAATATATATGTAGTAGTTTTACGTTTTACTATTATATCACAATAGTAAAACGTAAAACTACTACATATACAAAAGTAAAATTCCGTTTGCCCGATGTGGGACATTGGGCAGACACAATTATATTTATTGCACTAGTTGTAGTAGTGTATTGTATAATAAATTACTAGTAATTTGTTGTACTGTAATCAACTTTTATTTAACAGATTGATCAGCCTTCAATATCCTTCTCAGGCAAAACTTGTCTTAATTTTCTCAGGAGTTTAACTCAGGATCTCACCCATTAAGCCCTTAAGGCGGCTAAGCAAACATATGAATGCAGCGATACACATATTTGCCTTATAAGGTGAATACAGCCTTCCTAGTCTTAGGTATATATAGCCTTCTTTTTGCATATTATAAACATTATATAATAAGTTTTAAAAAGTATAACACTGGGATTAGTAAAAATAAATGTAGGGGCAGGCTACTTTCAATAAAGTAAAAACTTGGTTACTGAACGAATTGAAACAAAACTTGGTACTGAAAAGAAGTATGTAATATATACATATAACACTATAAATAATGGTACCTACATAATTAAATAAAGTTTAAAATTTCCAAAATGTTTTTCTATCTTTAATATAATAGTCTTCACAACTTTCCCATCTAGAAAATGGAATTTCCAAGAAAAAATCTAATTGACTTAATGTAGCAACCACATAATATGGTGTATTTTATAATGTAAAATACACATAATATTTAAATAAAACACTTTAACGGTTTAAAACGCGATATATTAGTTAAACTTATTTGAAAATGAGTTTCATTTTCAAATAAGTTTAACGAATATATCGCGTTTTAAACCGTTAAAGTGTTTTATTGAAATGTGTACTACTCGCGTAAACTATAGACAGTACACATAATATTAGTAATATTGTCAGTATTGATAAAAAAAGTTGATTTTATTTAGCTTTATTGTGTGAACTTGCTTCATGTGAAAGATATAGCAATATCACTTATAATACTTGTTTAATTACAAAACAAATCATTTAACATTGAGTTTTGTGGGCAAAAGTTTTACTTTATCTGTTATAATTCTACAGATCATACATAATAAGCAAAGTAACAGTAATAACGAATTGGCAAATTGCCATTAGGTATTATTAAAAAGTTTAAACTCACTTGACTGATAATGAGAAATCTCCTGGGCTTGATTGACTAATCCTAATGAGAAATCCACCTTCTGGCTTATTTGCTAGTAGTTTTTCAGCGTCTGCTCTTGTTATTCTACCATAATACCAACTGAAAACATACACGTTGTTTAGAACACTTTAAAACTGTTCTAATTGTGAAACTCAATAAACACTCGACAAAATTGTTAGATAGTATCAATGCATATTTTTTATTCTTGAAATGCATCAAAATTAGCCGCTTCTTGGAAATTTCTTGTATACCTTAACCTACAACATTGGACAAATGTGTTTTGGCAGATGTTATATGTTTTGGTATTAGAACAAGCTAGTTTACTGACAATATTATCCTTCACAAGTGAGCCTGTGTCAGAATTTAAAAAGTGACAACTATATATATATAGGTTCCCTTACAGTAATTAAACCTGACCTACACGAATAGAAGTCCAGGTCACATACAACAAGAAGGCATTACTTTACAGCTCTCATTACATAGAATACATCATAATATTACTACAATAGCTCCAATATAAACAATAATAAATTATGGCTAATAATATTTCAGAAATAGTCAACACTGTAAGTGATATTAAGAATATTTCATTTGCTTTTACTAAAAATCATATACTACAAATATCAACAGACATTGCATATTTGTAGTAATGACATATTTAAGGTTTAATAATGTTTGTATATTAATGGAGCTTAATTAATTATAACCCAACTCTTAAAACTAATCAATACAAATAAATAAACAAATCTATTCCAACAAGAATTATACACAGATAATAAATGTTACTTGTTATAACTAAGGCCATTATAACAAAACAGTTACGAAATATTCCGAAAGTGAAAAGGTCTTACCTATGATTTTTCATTTGAATATAATTACTAGGGATAAGACCTTCCTTTCCATCCAATTCTGCTCTATACCAATTCATATCGTCCTCCATGTTTAGTATCTGCAATAACAAGTATTCTAGAAGAAATCTGTCGCCACAAACCCCTTTTATATCAGTAGAAGTGTCTATTAAATAGAAAACTTACTTTGAGAACCTGATTTTTCTTGAAACTGAGTTCATCATCCGCTGTTGCAGTGAAATCGTGTTTTGCTATAGCCTCCATGTTAAAATTAGGCACTTCACTGTGTCACTGATTACTAAAATAACTCACAAAGTATACTGTTTTATGAGAAGGTTTGAAGCGAAAACGAAAGAATAATCGTAATGCATGTATTGATTAATAAAAACACCACTTAATATGTATAGTTACGTCCGATTTCAGACAAAATACTTTAATCTAATTTCTGGCAAAACTCTAGACATTTTCCAACACTTTTGATGAGTGATGACTAGTGTTGCCATTTGTGTTTCTAGCACTTGAATACGCATTATGAGATTGCCATACTATTATTTTTAACTTTTTGGTGGTTAAACTGAAATTGATTCTATTATATTATATTTATTTTATAAAACAATAAAAAAAATATACTGTAATTTATTTATGAATGGAGTAAACTTTTGTAGAAAAGTCTGGCAAAAATGGTAAACAATAATGTCACTTAAAACCCAATACTAAATATTTTTTAGAATTTTAATTACATAAATTGTTACAATTTTCAGGTACAGATGGCTTATGTAGAGTATTACATAAACCATTATTTTACACAAAAATCTTGGTAAAACTGTGTATTACGAATATATAAATGACTTCTTGCATAATATAGCAGATTACACATAAGCAATGATAGATGACAGCTGACAGTTTAGAATAAATATTAGGACTTGACAATTTACTGGTTCTTTTAAGTCGAATCGCCTCCCAGTGGCATTATACGCGTGAGTATTTTTATAAATCTTAAAATATTTTAAATATCGTGTACTCATTTATAGCAAAAACTATGAAAATAATTAATATGATCTTGTTAGTATTCGATTTTATTAATATTTGTTATTTTGAACTTGATACACATTATTTTACCGGCAAGCTCTTAGCCTATGTTTTGTTAATTTCAGGTTTAGTCGTTACTCAAATAAACGCAACGATGTCGGGGGGATTGGATATCTTGGCCCTCAACGAGGAGGATGTGACCAAAATGCTTGCAGCGACAACCCACCTTGGGTCTGAGAATGTCAACTTTCAGGTAACCTACAAGTTGTAAATAATAGGAGAACATTTTCAGGATTTTACCATGATGACATTAGAATCCGTTCCATTTAAGAACAGAACAAATTTGTGAAGATCGATTCTCCCAACTGATGTTTATATTATTAACTGTATACAGTTTTATGATGTGATCGTGCTTATAACATGTGGACTATTTTAGATGGAGACATACGTGTACAAGCGTCGTGCTGATGGTACACATGTCATCAACCTACGTCGCACGTGGGAGAAGTTGGTGCTAGCAGCCAGAGCAGTTGTGGCTATTGAAAACCCAGCAGATGTGTTCGTCATTTCTTCTCGTCCATTCGGTCAGAGAGCAGTGCTGAAGTTTGCCGCACACACCGGCGCTACACCCATTGCTGGACGTTTCACTCCTGGTGCCTTTACAAACCAGGTATGAAAAAAAAACTTATAAAAATATGGTTGATATTTTTGCTATATGAATAGAGATCGCAGAGATTTGCTTTATGCTGCTACATATCTGTACTGTTTCTTAACTGAAGTGCTTCTTTCTGTGACACAAGATCATGTATAGTATTGGAACTAATGTTTGTACTTAGATAATTTGATAAATGAGTCGTTAATGATTGAACAGCCCAATAGAACTTATTTTTTAAGTCTTACATTTGCTACATAGTATAAATGTATGAGTTACAAACAATTTAATGATGACAATTTTACCTAAGGAACCACTGACTGCAAAAGCAGAAATGATTACAATCTTGTCTGATTTTTCTTTTAATTGCCAATTTTTCTTACTGCAAAGAGCATGTATTAACAGCAGTTGTTCATAACAGATTCAAGCCGCATTCAGGGAGCCACGTCTCTTGATCGTTCTTGACCCAGCACAGGACCACCAGCCCATCACTGAAGCGTCATATGTCAACATTCCAGTTATTGCTCTTTGCAACACTGACTCACCACTCAGATTTGTTGACATTGCTATCCCATGCAACACTAAGGTAACTTTTTGAGCTTTTTTTACTGCCTAAATAAGACTAAGCAAATACTATACCTGGTTAAAGTAGTACCAGATACATTGTTCACAATATTTAAATGTATTACTTATTTAAGATCATAACGTACTCTTTAACTTTGTTAATTGAAAATTTTTGGTGATTCCTTAACTTGGTTTCATGATAATAATTTACCTTATCTTTTTCCAGTCGTCACACTCAATCGGTCTTATGTGGTGGTTGCTCGCGCGTGAAGTACTCCGTCTGAGGGGTGTTCTAGCACGTGACCAGCGTTGGGACGTCGTGGTGGACCTGTTCTTCTACCGTGACCCTGAAGAAAGCGAGAAGGAAGAACAACAGGCTAAGGAACAGGTAACAAGTTGATACTGTACAAAGCAGAATTTTTATGGTTAAAATCATCTCTTTTACTATATAAGGTAAAGGATTTATTTAGAAAAAAATATAAACATACTACTGCAGTCACGGTCACAGGAGAAACAGTAAAATTTGCACAGAATTGAATATATAGGGAGGGGGACAGGTTTTTAACACAAAATTTTCATATCATATTTACAAATTATTAAACATTCAATACAATACTATATTATTATTACTTGAGGTGGTAGAGTTGAGATATACGTAGTAGATATTTAATAACAATGGTATGTCTCCAGGCTGTCGTTCCAGTCAAGGCGGAGGTTCCTCCACCAGTACACGAGGACTGGATCGAGCCTGAACCTGTTACCTCCTGGACTGAAGACGCCGCCCCCGTCGCCGCGCCGGCCTTCGGTGCGACCGCTGCTCAAGATGACTGGGCTGCCCAGGTAACTTATCAGTTCTTTACAAGTACATAGTAAAAAACTTTGCTTTGTACTTTGTATAATAACAAAAGGTTATTATTTAAATTATCCGTTCTGTCAAATTTCCAGGTACAAGAGGAACTTGGCACAGCTGCGCCAGCGGTTGCCGCTGCTGCTACGCCATCGTGGGGAGGATCTGCTCAAGGATGGAGCGCGTCGTAAACATTGTGTTTACATAATAAACAAAACTAAAACTTATTGCATTGCAGTTTATTTAATTCTCCAGTCCTATATACTATGTACTTATTAAAAAGAGTTTCCAAAACTTGAATGTAAGGTCTATGCTAACCATTTAAATATTAAGTAAAAGATCTGACTTGTGTAGCTTTATTAAAATTTTATGTATAAGAAACAAATATTTTTTTGTGGAAACTTCAGTTATAGTTCAGTGGTTTGGCGATAAGAACGCTAATTTGATAAAGCTATAAGAAGAAATGTAGAATTACAAACATAAAAAAATAAAAATACAAACATACGCCTATTTTTTTAAGCCGTGCTTGGACGGAAATTTTTCATTTAATATGGAAATAATATATCTATGTCCAATAACTTGGATGGGAAATTACCAAGTTAAAGACTTGACACATTTTTACATATTATCAGCAAAATGTTATAAAATAAAAGGTTTACTTTAAAAAATCTATCCGTCAATATGCCTACTGTAAAGGTGTACTCTGTATACACAAGTATATTTCGGATTGCCGTAGTTGGACAAAACTTGGAAAACAATGCTTTTTAAGGGAGCGCTACAGTTGTCTAATGAAAAGTATTGTTTCGCTGGCTTATTATGCCGGTATGTTCCGTCTGTCGCTTTTGTCCATGTACCATTCTCTAGGATACCCTGAAATAAAAGAAACTGCAGTCGTACAACAGGATAATCATGGAGCTAGAAAAATCGGTATAAAACTCGAAATCACGTTAGTTAGCTTATTTGAAACCGTCAAAACTTCGTACCTTTTACATAAACGTGTTTGTTTTTGTACTGTGGTTGTAAACCCCAATAGTAATAGAGGTATTTTATGTAAATAAGAAACAAAATATTCATATATGTGATATATATAGTATTGAAGATGTTTACAATAATTTATTAGCAGTTAAGGTTGGGTATACACTGAGCGAAAATTTGACGAAACAAAAAGTTAAATCTTTGCTGTCTCTATACAAAAATAAATTGCAGTTCTTATTGTATTAAGCTACAGGTCTTCCTAGAATTCGTACCAGCAGTTATCAGTTCGAAAATTCGTTCCTAAATCTTCGTCTAAATTCTTAGACTTAACTAAAGACGGTCTCGCCGCATTTCGGCAATATTACTTACGTAAACTACGAAGTCCTTCGGTGCACTTCGGGCGGTGTCTGGTCTAATATGTTCCAGGCTTATGTTATCCACTTGAATTGAGTGCGGTACGTGTATTATTAGCTCTCCAGATGAGCCACTATAAACAGAAACGCTAACTAGCATTAGCTAGCTTGATAATATATCGACGCTAACAATCGTGTCACAGTGTTAGTTAAAATTTATATGCATGTTCAGTTGGTCTTAGAGTCGGTTTTCATATACTTTTTTCATATCATGACAAGAGTTATCCCACCCTTATTTTTTTAATTTGGGACCATTTTTTTATCAATCAATAGAACCGTAGATTTTTACCAACTCTGTCTAATTAAGAAAAACTTTAGGTTACAGCTGAATAAAAAGAAATGAAATGAATAGAAGAAATGGCAGTCATAGATGTAAGTCGGTGTGTGTGATTATTTTCAAACATACAATGGTGAAATGCAACAATTTTTGCGAATTTTTTTTATATGAAAAAATTAACTTCTTCAAATTTGACTAAAACTAGAACTAGAAACGAACTTTTTGTTAACTATCCTGTTGTAAATAAGACTAGACTAATTCAATTACACCGATTTGTCAAATGTTAAAATGTATTTAATCACGTCTTATATAAAGCCACTAGCTGTATCAGTGACTTCGTTCGCGTAGAATAGTTATTTTAACCATCAACATTTGTTTGTGCAAACCTCCTGTTCATCTTAGATTTAAGCCCCCACCAACGACGTCTGTCGCGTTTCGTCGTTCTAGCATGTTAATCTTAATAGATAGACATGTAGTGTCTGGGACATTTTTTTAGAACATTTAAAGAGGAACTATTCTCATAATCTTGGGTATCTTGAACGATGAAAACCTACACAGGTGAATAATTTTCCCCGTTTTCCGCTGTTTCTTCGCTCCTTTTAATCACAACGCGATGTTTTATACCCTTTTATTGGCTTTCTCGATAAATGCTCTAACCAAGCCACAATCATTTTTCAACTCGAACCAGAAGTTCCCGAGATTAGCACGCTCAAACAAACAAACTCTTCGGCTCTATATATTAGTATAGATTAATCGACTAGTTTCACAGTGTCAATAGCTTGTACTTCTTTGCTTGTTAAACATCTATTTCTAAGCTGTAAGACTAAGAACCCAGATCGTTTATTTACGTAACGAATAATCGTATAGCGAGATGTAACGTGTTCGCGGAATTGTAAATAGGAACAAACGCTCCAATGAAATGTTAATTCGATGACATCAATTTCACGTCTCATTTGCCATCTTAATAGAGACACTTTTGTAAGATCTCATTTTCCACTTAACTAAATAAAGATCCGTCAAGTGCAGGCGGAAATTGCATGAACTTTGGATGAATTTGTAATAGGATGTTCGCTGACTTTGTCTTTTAATCCATAAATAAGGGGAAATTAAGCGTCTTAAAGAAGTTCATACAAAATCGAAACTGACAAAATGGGTTGAGATTCAAATTGACCATAACAATAGTATTGTAATAAATACGTCGCTATTACACTTGTCTAAACAAATAAAAATATCCCTATTTCTATATAAAAAATGTAATTATTCTATAATAAAGTTACAATTTGTGTTTTTTGAAAAATACATATAAATCGTATATTTAATTATAGTATAAAAAATATATGTATTTAATCAATCAAATCTGAAGAGTTTGTTTGTGTGCTTAAATCTCCGGAACTACTGGTTCTTCTTTAAATAATATTTAAAATCCGCGACATCTCTTTTACGATAAACTCACAACAGATGTTTTTATGTTAATCGAATTTGGTCGGTATTATGTGGTAAAAGAACCTTAGCCAGGTCCAAAATAAAATTTATCAATTAGACCATTAATTCTTTACAATTAGGCTGAAAACCTAACAAATTCCTACCAGTTGAAAACAATCTCACCTAAAAGGCCAGCAATCAGACGGCGTGGGTTGCCTCAAAGCCAGTATTGTCTCGGGCGGCGGAGAGGCGCGCCACAGAGGGATTATACCCCACAGGCCAAGTCGCCCACCCCATTCTGATGTGGTGCTACCTTTTACGGCCCGCGCGCCGGCAATGTAGCTTCCGATTGCATTCCTGTTAGCTGAACAATACCAAACTTGATTCTAGTTTACACGTTTTATACGTAACGACACAATGGACAGTCAACTGTTTAAAGTCTAGTTTCAGCTGAGGGATATATTGTAAATCGGTTGAATTAAAAATCTATTTAGATTGAAGAAATAGACGACACGGGCGGGACTTGAATCTGCACCACAGCGATCTGCTGGTCTAGTGTGTTACCGTGTCTCACGTCTTCATCGAATTTTTTTAACCCGTGTAACCCATGCAATGTAATATCAAATGTTTTACTAAGTAATAAGAAATTGATAAAAATGAAATTACAGAAAAAAAATATTTTTCACATGATATAAATTAAAAATCTATTTAGTATGTTGTGTTAACGTTATTTATTTTAATATATATTTTATTTATACAATGCCATCATGTGCATAACATAAGAAATATAAAGTTTTTAAATTGGTTGATGATATTTTTTAACATTACACTTATAACTATACGATTACGTTTGTTGTCTTAGGTATGTCTTTTAAGATAAAGCTTAAATATCTTTATTATTATTTGTTCCCTTTATAATATAAATTCTTTTAATTAGTAATATTTCTTCTTTTTCTTAGTAATATGAAATTACAGCTTTGCACTGAACGACTTTTGACTCACTTTTGACTTTTGACTTTTGACTCTTGACTCACTCTATCGACTATCAGTCTCACGCATCAGAATCCTTTGCGTAGTTTTAGATTTAAGCGCACACAGAGACAGAAAACTACTTTATTTTATACTATGTAGTGATAATTTATATATATTCTAAATACACCATGTATAAATGCTAATGTCGTGCGTTTTAACTGAACAAGCGAGTCGCGGTTTTTACAAACTTTTGTTGCCTCAGTTATTTTTAGCTTTCACCATTTTTTCGGTAAAATGTCACTGTGATTTATGGTGGCTAGAATAAGCTGAGTTGAAAAGTTTTTGGGTGTTCGTACTACTTTTATGAGTATTTTTAATGTTGTTTGCATGATGTTTTATAGGCCGAATTCTGGATGGTTAAAAGTTGTATCATTGAAACTGGGTTTAGAACGAGGATAAATAACAAAAATATAGCATAAATTGTTTCTTAAAGAAGTAACTCTGATATATGATTATGCTACTACACTGTGCGAGAGTTGCATGTATCAATAGGTTGAAGAAATTCAACGACGACGTGTAAGCACGGTAGCTCAATTCGTCAGAGCAGCAGCGCGGAGTGCTATGAATGCTGATTCAAGTCCCGCCCGTGCCGTAATTTTATCTAAATCGATTTTTAATTTGTTTTATACTATACGATAAGTCAACGTGTTATTAAGATATATATTTGAACCCGTTTATAAATTCAGTAACATTCTAGAAAACCAGCTCTGCTGAGTGTGATAAGCACTTAGATCTTTATATACTACCTATGTATTAGTACGCCAAAACATTTGTATTGTTTGTGACTTGATTTGTTAGCTATAGTCTAAACTGTTGTAATAATGGCAATAAATGGTTTGATTTTATTTAAATATCTTTGTTGACGAAACCAATTATTAAATAAATACTTTACAAAGCAAGTAGTTGATCAGACTTCTGTGCACTTCCCGATCGACACAATCTATAGTTTCCTCGAGATTCGAACTCAGAACCTCCTCAACTAAATTCTAGGCAACATGTTTAGCGAAGAAGATTAATTCGATTGCAATTCAAAAAATCTTGTCATATTGACATCTTAACGGACGACAAATTCTAAGCAAAATAATAATTTTTCGATTAAGTATATAGATAGTCTTATACACAAATAAGTTGATTAAAACAACCCTCTAGCCCGTCGGCTGAAGCTTCAATTCGTTGAAAACTTTGAAAAGTCTTAAAGGACTAATAGAAATAAACAAAGCTCTTGGATTTGAGCCAGGGACCTCGAAATGCGGCCAGATATCAAACATTCAGCCCAGTTCACCCCGACCAGTGCGACCCTTCAAATGTGCATCTTTGCATAATTAATAAGTATGTGTGCCTAGATGCTAGCGTCCCTAGTCTAAATATGTAAACGAACTCTGGTATGTATTCAGAATTTATTTACATTCGGGACATTCTAGGTAGTTTGTATAAACCGAAAGTATATTGAATTGAGTAAACGTCAAACGCTTTTAACTGTTTCAAACTTGAAATATATTAACCATATACTAGTTATGTACTTTAGAAAAACTATAGTTAAAATAAGGATACATTGTGTTAATGATCTAATAAAGCTAGTCTCGTAAATTAAATAAAATCTGTATTATTTTATTTTGTCTTTTCCAATTTTAAAAGTAGAAAACGATATACTTTTTTAGGTATTATTTTCTAAACATTTTATTCATTTATTAAAAATGTTTAGAAAATACATATTGAATTTTAACATTATTTCTGTAGAATTTTTAAATTACATTTTCGAATGTAAATCACTTAGTATAGTTACGTAATGTTGAGCAAAAAATAAACGATTACTTTTTGTAGCAGAAAACCGAACTATCATTACATTGGTTTTTTAGAAACCTTTCAAAACAGCACCACCTCCGATCAGTGGGGAAAGACTGAAAAACAGCGCTGTACATTTTTCATTCGTGCAGCGCTCATCGGAATCTGAATTCCTAGATGCCACTAAATTTAAGCCTTGTAAATAAGATCTTTGTTTTGTATTTTTTGTGACAATAAACATTTTCTATCATTTCATGCTACTTTACTTAAATTAATGCTAGATCCAATTAAAAAATCGAGCAATTCTCTTGTACAAACGATAAGCACCCGCCATGCAGCAATAAATAAAATAATATTTAAATACCTGTTCTGTGGCTTTGTGATGTTAATATTGTCCTTCGCATTTGGAGCGTTGTTCTGAAATTGTTAATGAATATAATAATAATAATCTCGTGAACTACTCTCATTTATATATATACATATGAAATGGATTGTCCTGAAGGACTAATTGATGGACTAAAGTACCTAATGGTAGAGAAAAGTGGGAGGTGTTGGCACGGTATATTACATAGGGTGGCAGACAGGCATGGAGTTCTATCTATTTTAGCATTACATATTCGGAAATCTACAGAATAGAACCGAAACGTGATAAAACTTATCGGCTTTTTGTAAACGGAGGAATATAGAAATTCCGGACCTGGTGGTGATCGAACCCCATATCCGTTGGTTATTAGTCATTGCCACCTGTCAACAGAGCCTTAGACTTATGTTGTTAAAAAAGAAATGTGAAATGGTCGTTAAGGACAATGTTGTTCCTTGATTGAAACTATTAATTTTAATGTGGAAGATGTACTTAATATTTGAAATAAATTCATCCCCTAACGGGGTTAAAAACGAGTACGCTCCTAGATAAAATATAATTGTGGTAATCACCAAATAGAATTGTAGTTATTTTGTTTGGTATTACAGACCGCATTAATTGGAAAAAGGATATCCGAAACAATAATATAACTATTGCTGTAAGTAATCTGTGTTATTATAAACGTATTCCGATATGATTATTTATTTTTTATTTTTATTATTATAAACAATGTAAACGGTAATACCCTTATATTTTTTTACTGGTTAGTATATTCACATATAGACTTGTAATCGTTTTTATATGTAACACTGGACAGACTAGCGTACGGTCCTGATTTTAAACGACATATACACGGTCAGTAATTTTTAAATATTTATTTTAATTACCTTAATAGATATTCGTAGTGAGTTACTTTCGCTGTTAAATGTTGCAACCGATAGCAGCATTCTTCATCTACAACTGCAGGTTTTGCTGGAAACACAATACTTAAATGATATGAAAACTACAATATATTAAAATATGCACAAGCCAAAGGTTCGCCATGTAACATGTTACACGTACTGTTGTCGTAAAACCATCGGCAAAAAATGTTGCGTACTTTCAGTGACCGGCTGCCGGTTTTTTGGCGAATTCTATGCGTGTATCGAGTAAATATTCTTTTAATTTGCATTAATATCTCATGACTGCGATAATGCTGCGTTATGCTTGCATACCATTAAAATAATATTATTTTTCTGGTTTCTTGAACATTTTTCGCAGCGTACGCATCGGAAACCTAATAAGCTGAATGATTTCTACATTTCCCGAATCTTCTTCGCTCCTATTAGTCACAGTGCAATATTGTATAACCTAAAGCCTTCCTTGATACATGCTCTAACTAACGCAAAAATTATTTTTTAATTCAATTTAGTACATCCTGAGATTAGCGCATTCAAACAAACAAACACACTCTTCAGCTTTATATATTAGTATAGATAGTGTTATTTGGCACACGCTACAACCTATACGACCGAATGGCTTTCGACGTTCAATACGTATGCTATTTAATATGCCAGTATCTAATCCGAGATTAACACCTATCTTCGATTGACGCTTGTGAACCGAGTTGGCCTTGATGGCAGGGAAGACAGACTTGCTTGTTATTATCTATAAGTTATATTGGTTCAGATGAATCTTGCGTCACGTAACGTATATTAAAGATAACCGTGTCATTTCTAATATAAAAAGTCTTATAAATAAATTACATACTCATTTAAAAATTTAAAATATGAATCTACCAAATTAGACTGTACACATTTAAATAAAACACTTATACAGTTCAACGTTTGGATGTTTTGCTGCCCCAAGTGACCCAACGTTAAAAATAAGTTTACATAAATAGCGCGATTTAAACCATTAAAAGTGTTTTTTTTACAAGCAAGTACTTGATCAGAATTCATTGCCCTGCTCGGCCGAAAATTGTTTCCTCAAGATCGAAACTTAATCTAACTCAATGTTAAGATTTAACTACGGAAGCGGTTTTACAATAATTGTAATCAGTTTTAATAAAATAGCATATATCTAAGGAAACCCATTCTTATAAATCGTTTTTCTTTATTACATTATCCTAATGGAGATTCGCCATCAACTTGCCCTTGTGTCCAAGACCAAGGTGTGTGGTTTGTTATTCATACCCGCAGTGAACGCCGGTGGAATCAAGATTTTAAGGTTATTAGCCTAACATCTAGAAGTACTTACTCCACGCCAACTTTGTTTGCGTCAGCAGTTTTTCGATCTCCGATGTTGGAATTCTCTCACGGATAATGTAACCTGGAAAAATATTCTATTTAGAAGCCATTTCATGTCTTATTTCATGCCTATTACTAATTAAACGTGACCGAAATTATGTTATTTAATCTATTACATGTTAAATACAACTTTTTAACGGTTTAAAACACGATTAAACTTGTTGAAAATTATTTTAATTACGTCCGCGTGACCACGGCTGCTGCAAAGCATTCGAAATAAATTAAAATAAGTTTAACTAATATATGCGCGTTTTAAACCGTTATCGTGAAAGTGTGTTATTTAAACATTCATGTTCACGCGTAAAAATATTGCGAAGTTTCATATTAATAACAGTTGTATTACTATATTCGGTATTTCGGAATCAATAACTTGATAATGTGCGAAGTGTGATTGATACTACAACCAATAATTACGTAAAATTAAAAATGCCGGTTGCCAATTTCAGATTGAAACGCAACCACTAAAAATAATAATTAAGCGATAATCCGTCAGTAATGAGGTAAATTGATTAACGCTATTGGACGTATGTTAAACGAAATTACGGGCGCTTATGGGCAGACTTTATTGATGCGAATTATGTCTATTTTCTTATTACAGCTTTATAATAATACATACTACAGAAATTACAAGTAAAACTACGGAACTTAAATAAAGGGCGGCCTTATCACAAAGCAGCGATCTCTTCCACGCCACCTGAAGTACAGGAGAAAAGTAAAAAAGGGCTTATTAAGTGGGTATGTGTAAGGAATAATAAAGAAAAAGCAAAGGTACATCGTGAAAGTATTAGACATTATTGTTTTCATAAAAGAATTGGTTTAAGGACTTCTACAAGTAGACATAATACGTAATTTTAAGTGTAATGTCAGAGTGTTTCTAAAGGATTTCACGTTTTCCCCCACATGGAAAACGGAATAAACATTGTGATTCCGAATCGATTTAATGAACAGTCAAGATTACATTTAAATATAACACTTTCAACGGTTTAAAACCCGAAACGTCGGGCCATAGCTAAGATAAATTGTGATTATAACTAATATATTTCGCGTTAAACCGTTAAACATGTTTTATTTAAATGTGAACTACTCGCATAACCTACAGCCAAAACTTAAGTAGATCAGACTTCTGTGCCCCTGCAGATCTAAGCAATTTATTGTTTTGTTGTCGTTTGAACCGAGTACCTTTCATGCTTAACACAATGCTAACCTTTGAGCTAGTAAGAATAATAGAATTATGGTTTATATGTAGTAGGTACATAAACGAATTATGTCGCAAAAGCGAGAGCAAATATTCCAGCTTTGGGATACATCTTAATCGAATTAGGACGTGCTCCATAAAACTAACAGTGAATATATCTTTGTTAGTTCCACGTCTTGTTAGCGGAGTTTGCTTTTAGACAAACGGCAGGGCGCGCACAGTTCTAAGTAAAAAGTAAATGCAAGCCATTGTAGGTACTTACAGCCAGATCCCGCTATGAAGAGTAAAAGTATAAAGACTTTCAATTTTTCTCTTTGGATATTTCTCTCTTTCACCCCTTGATGTCTTCTATCCTCGGTCTCGTGTTTCGTAATATTTTCCCACAGCGGACGGAACGATTTCAATTCACGGTGCGAAAGTTTTCGTGGTTTTCGCCTTTCGGAAACTCTTCCTGTTGAAATATGGAGCGAATGGACTACGGTCTACGGTTACCTGAGCTTTGTAATTTACTTAGCGAGTGTGGGATTGCCCCTAATTAATGCCCCAAAGTTTTAGCTTCGCTGAGTGTTCACTACATTTTCTCTGGGGTTGCCTACTGTTTTAAAAGCTTATAAACGTGACTTTAAAGATAATATATTTTAACAAGAATTACGCTAATTATATATTTATGTTTTATTCTCGTAATGTGCTATTTATATGAGGCTGCTAGAACCAGAGTGGCCTAATAACAAAAAACATGATTTTAAATAAGGTAGAAAAAAATGCGTCTTGGGCGAAAATTAATTTGTACTATTATTTGTAGTGTACGTATACTGTTAACAACTTTCGGTCACTGTGCGGTTGTAGAGTAACATTTTTAGAATATAAAAATATAATAACACGATTCCGTTATTAAAGTGTTTAACATTTACATAAGACTCCATATTCGACTTCGAGACAGACCGCGAGAATCATTATTTTGGGCATCCAAATTAGGTTTTGCAAACCGTCATCTATATAAACTTAAGCTGTTAGCCACCAAGTCGTTTGCGTTCCTTCCCGTCGTTCAGATCATTTAAAGAGGAATAATTCATTCATACACATTTTTTAGTTATCTTGAACTGTTTTCGCAGCGTACGCAACTGAAACCCACAGTGATAAAAATTTTCCCCTGTTTTGTTCACTTTTCCCGCTATATGTTCGCTTCTATTAGTCACAGCGCGATGTTTAGCCTATAGCCTTCCTCGATAAATGTTCTAACCAACACAAAAATAATTTTTCAATTCGAATTCCCGGCGTTCAAACAAACAAACAAACTCTTCAGCTTTATATATTAGTAAAGAAACAGATTGACGGGCTCGTTTGTGTAATGGTAGCAATGAATCAACGGGTGATAAGTTGGATCCCCATCGGGTCCAACATTTTTTTTATTATTTATAATCTTTGAAGCATGATGGACTCCGTCTGGAAATATGGATATTGAGTGAGGTAGTAATATCGAAATTCCTTCCTGAAAAAGATGATCAGATGTTACGTGGCTAGGGTATTTCATCCACAGCATTAATAAAAAATGGTGACTCAATTACTACGATGTAAGATGGATGTGAGTTCGATTTTTTTTTAAATCCTTTTCAACGGCAGTATTTTTTTATTTGTACAGCTATGTTATTTGAGAATTAAGCTATTGAAGGTCGAATATAAGCTAAATTAACGTGTTTTACGCTGAGCAGTTCCACGATTCCCGGCATAATGAAGCTCATTTAATATTTTGTGCAAACGTCCGTCATTCATTTGATAGCACCTGCTACCTGGCAGAACGCTCCAATTGCATTATGCAGGCCCGTTCGCTTTTTAGGTCGCAAGAATTAGGGACGGACACGCTTTTATGTCTGTACATTATCAACACGCCGCGTTGCTCTACTGCGAAAGCCGGTTAATGATTTTCTCGTGTTTAATTATAATAAAACATAGGCTACTGTATGTTTGTTTCTTAACATTTTGGTAGCCTTGAACACTGAATAATATTTCGAATAAATTATTGTTAATGGTAACGGACTGCGATAAATTGAAGCTCCTGTTTTAAGAGTTGCCATTGTTATTTTTTGCCTTGTATATTTAGATAATTTATCTAAGTGTAGTTATTACCTTAATTTAGTTCATTTTTTTTTATTTATTTTGTATGCAAATTTTAAATTACTTTATTATTATTAAAAGTAATTCTATATTGGCTGGTACAATTTAAATATATAACGATTATAAATTTGGGTTTATCTGTGCCCTTTGTCAAAAAGTTACGTTATCTGTTAGTTTATTATATTATAGAATAGACATAATCTGTACTAATAACATTATTGTACTTTTAATTAATAATATGATATTTAACTATTATGTCGGTGTAAAGGAGAGTTCTTTTTATGAGTTAAAATTAAAAGAGTAATAAACAAAACGCATTTCTATAACATCATAGAGTGGATAAAGGTTTTATAAAATATAATCTAGTGATCTTACGAGCCGCTTAAAGATTTGAGAGCACTTGAATTGTCCTACTTGCCATTCTGTTCTACTTTACCTGTAGAGAGACTTCATGGATGAGATCAAACAGCCAGAGCTGCAGTTACATTTATAGCGATATTAATAATGTAACCAGCTCCAACTTTAATTATATTATAAAAGTCTTTGGTCACAATTGTCGTGGTGAAAATAGATTTTATTAAAAGATAATTGTAAGGTCCTATTGTAATTTAACCTTCAAATATATAAGAATTTTTATTTCTTAAAAAAATTATCTTTATTTATCTACCTTTTTATATTATACGGTCGGGCAAAACACACAACTTTGACAGAACTAATGGTTGTAAATGAAATCGATCAATGAAGTGTATTATACAACATATGTTGGTCCAATGAGCGCGTGATTTTGAACAATTATTATGTTTAAAAAATAGAAAAAATAAAATTTTATAAAGATATATTGAACTAACCTGAACACCACGGTGGAATAAAAGAGTTCTGTGACATGTTTTCACTTATAAATCGTATTATTCAGACAAAATAATAAATTAATAACTGACTCTTTATAAATATTTATGTTAATATCTCTTTTCGATCGAAAGATTATCGCGAGTAGCGCTTTTAATACAGAATCGCATTAATAAATTCTTAAGGATTGAAATCCCGCCATTTTTACAGACCATTACGCAATTTAATAGAACACGGTTCAATAATGTCGTGAACCACAGACTAAATTTTTCAAAACCGCTTTTAAAATTACATTATCTGTGATTAAATTATAATGTTTATTTTGTACATTGAGTACTGGAGTATTTAAAAATGTTTTTATTATTGTTTTATTTCATATATTTTTTAAACACTTATAATATAGACTTTGTTTATAAAATTAGAAAGTTGTTTTGCAAAATATTTGTATGTACTGTAGTATGCGTGTGCTGTCAATATCATAATTATGGCGGAAAATTCCATTTTTATTTTTAAATTAAGTACCTAAAACTCGATCATCGTCTCACGAAATGAACAAATTCTTTCTTTATTCCAAAAACCTATTAACCTTGTTTCTGCTTGAAAATCTGTTACCTCGATAATTATTTTGTTTCGCGTTTTAAAATGAAAATATCGATTTCATGGCGAAGGTTTTAAATGAAATGCCGGTATTGAAGCGGAACAGTTTTTTTAGTCATGTTCGTCGCCGTAGTTGTTTTTTACGTTTTATCCGAAGCTCTCGCCCAAGAGCAGGCGTTAAGCACAGTCACCCCTCAATCGCCCCCTTTGCCATTCCTCGATTTGTTTACTGGCGCTTCCAACTATTATCCCGATATACGAAAAACATATTCTGATCCCGGTTATTACCATGGTTCGTGCCAAAAGACAGATACCCTATCGTCGTTCGCCAGTCTTTTGGGGAGTGCTGCCAAAATAATGCTCTCAGCGACAGTCATTGTGCTATTAAAGCTTCTTGGTGGCAAACTTTTGCTTTTTCCGCTAAGTGTTATGCTGTTTGCGAAGTTGGGTCTGAAAGCGGCGTTGATGTGGCCAGTAATATCGAAGATGATAAAGTACTTCAAGAAGAAGAAGAAGAAAAATAAATCACGGTTAATTATGGATTGTTCCGAGAGGGTCGCCTGCGTGATACAGAAGTCGTATAGGAGTGGTTTCGGTAGCAATTTTGGGACCGCTGTTACTTTTTCAATTATAGATGACGTTGATGAAGATAGTCCGATTGCGAAAATATTGCTCAGCATTCTCGCTGGGGACAAGGTCGCCGAATGTATGTCAATGGACTGCAACTCAGGAATCGATATAAGCTGACACGTAAATAAACATAGACTGCGCTTGTTCGCTGATTCGTTCGTACTTAAATATATTTAAACGAAGTTAATTGCCTGTTTAATAACATATTAAACTTATCATTAACGTATAAAACTATCATTGATATATTTATTAACTATATTTCTTTCCCAAAACCCATTCACTACTTTAATGTTAATACTTATTTTGCAAGTTGCATAAACATACAAACAACATTTATTTTTTAAATATTATTGTGTATTTTATGTTATTGATTCACGGCTACTTCCTTATAACAATACTTATTAGGCGATGAGAAATATTAAGATTGATTAGTTTGTCTTCTGTACTGTGACAATCATGAGTTTGTTACGCACTTTGAAAGTTCTAGTGATTCTATTTAATCTGCTGACCGTATGCGCTAATGGAGAAACTGGCAACATACCTCTGGACATGCATAGCTTATCCGCGGATCAGAATAGATACATGTATCCGAATACCATATACTACCCTAGATACAGTTACAGTCAAGACCGCAGTATGGAAGGAAAGTCTGCACACGACGAAAAGGTTACTTTTGACAACTTCTTTGATAGTGTAAATGATGTAACGAATCAACAAGATTCTAGATCCCGGGCTGCTACAAAATTTGCCCCAACGACATTCTCAAAACCATTGACCTACCACAAACCCAGCTATACATCTTGGCCTTCAAGTATCTACCACGAACCCACGTTAGCACCAATGGATACGGACTTCTTGAAACCAAAGTTTGGACTACTAGAATCGGGTATAAAAACGCCAAATAAACTGGGCAGTTTGTTACACCTCGGTTTCGCCTTATTAGGGGGGTCTGGATTTAAGGAGACTTTAATAAACAATATATTGAGACCGCTGCTGGCGTCTAAGGGGGCGTTGAAATCGTTTATTGGTAAGCTATCAATTCCGATCGTCGCTTTGGTACTGGTAAATGTAGAGATCTTGTTTGTGGTTTGGTGGCTGTGGGAAGAGTGCCCCGAAGTACCAGTGGAAACTATGACGCCGTTCTCCGCCCAAGCTCCAGTCAGCAACTTGAGTACATTCGAATAAGTTTCTTAATATCCGAGTTCGGAAGTTATCCCGAATAATTAGTGATTGTTTCGAATAGATTGCTGTAGAAATTACGACTGAATATTGTAGATTTAAAGAGAAAGTGTGTAGAAGATTCGGCGGAATGTTATTTATTTGTAAATATGCTTTTGTGTAACGTAAATAATAATAAATTATTTTTATTCTGTTGTTGTTTTATTTTATAAACCTTATTTTGTTATTTGGAGATAGGATGTGACATAGAAAAGCTATAATAGAAATTATAGTACACAAACTAGTTTACTTTTTGGGTTACATTATCTTCTATCTATTACATATCTGGTAGTTTTACCAAATATGAAGGGAGGTTATTCATTATATTATCGTTTGCGTTTCCAATAAATTATTTGAGTAAGTGCGAATTAAAAAATACATTTCCCTTTTATCCGCATGTCCAAATGATTTATTTGCATGATTAAGGGCTTTCCTGATACGCTTTCTGTATTGATTTATAGTCTATGTCAACTTATTTCAATAAAAAGCGCGCCATTTATGCTTTTGTATCTTTGGTAATATATTTTTGCGTTATTATATATTGGATTACAGCGTGGCTCGTTTACATGTTTCTACGAAAAAACATCATATCCCATTCTATCGTTCAGATATTATAAATGCCGAAGCTTGACAAAGTGATTGATCGCTGTCATATAATATGATACTTGTTATAAATATAAAACGTGCAAAAGAAGCGTACTGCTAAGATGGGCTTGTTGGTCTAATTTTTCAATTTATAAATTTTCTGAAACATGTTGGACGTCGTCTGGATCTGGTTATCAAATGGGTGGTAGAAATATATAAATTCCGTCCGGGTCACGAAGCACCGTCCACAGATGAAAGGCTGTCAAGTTTAATCTCGTTTCGGTTTCAGTCCGTGGATTTCCGAATATCCAAAGACAAAATAGGTCGACAGCGTATCTTGTTTAGATTTAGTTTAGGCTGGGGTATATCACGTACGATCAAATGAATATAGTTATGCCATGAATACCCAACAAGCCAACAAATGGAGGATAAATATTCCACAATTTAGCACCCTTACGACGTTATATAAAGGGCAAATAATTGAATTAGGCGACAGGTGTCTGCATTCGTTATCCACGTTGTACTATTACCCCTAATTGGGTAATGGACTCGAAGATACCGGCTGAATATAGCCTTATTCAATAAAAGTGACGATCTAACAAGGATTTTACTGAACCAAGAAATTGGGTAACGCTTGGGTCTCAGTTGAACGACATACGAAGGCATTTCGGGATGTATATTCATATATGTAGGTATATAGATTTTTTTATGATAGAGGAAGACATGCAAGCATAAGGTTCACTTCATATTAGGTGGAATACCACAGTCATATAACATCTAATTAAGATACTGTTACAAATCCACAGAGTAAAACCGCAACGCGATTAAAGTCCAAGCCTTTTTTATCTGTAACGGTGACGAAGTAAAGTTCGGTCGGTCGAGGCACAAAAGCATGATCAACTATCTGCCTGTAAATCCGATCAGTGAAACGAACACAGAATGTGATCACCCCATGGCCCACGGGGGAAATATGATTTTACTTTATATTTCAACAAATTATTGTTTGAAAACGAGGATAAATTAAACGGATGATAAATGTCATATAACGACGGAATGATTTAACGTATGTAAGACGTAGACTGGCAGGAGCCGAAGACAGCGTTCTTCTAAAATAATGCTCATAACGAATTGAATATCATTTACAAATAAGGTACGATATGTACAATTAAAACAACTAGACGGGTTTAATTTGGATCAAATAATTATAATAATCTACTATATCTTCACCTTTATATATTATATTAGTATAGATATAGGGTAGATGTCTATACTAATATAATATATAAGGCGGAAGAGTTTGTTTGTTTGAACGCTCTAGTTAGGCGATAAAACATTGCGCTACGAACAATGCGGCAAAAACGGAGAAAATTAAACATCTTTGTAGGTTTTCGCTGCGTACACTGCAAAAATGGTTTAAGATACACAAAGAGAATGATTCTTCTTTAAATTATCAAAAAATGTCCGCAACAATATATGGGTTACTCTTAAGATGAACTCGCAAGAACGACGGGTCGCGAGCGATAGGACGCGTCCGATGACGTAGTAACAGTTTGCAGAAAATTTTTGGATGCCCAAAATAACTATTCTACGCGGACAAAATCGCTGACTCACCTAGTAATCAAATAATGATTTTCTGAATTTCCTTTTAGGTCATCCCTTTGCTACATTGTTCTTCTCAAGAAATATATTCAGTCAAATAAATGAAAGTAAAGACCTAAACACGAAACTACAAATTTCTAACAACGCGTAAATCATATCGTCCATTATTGGTTTTAGAAAGACTACACTGAAGGTAGTGAATAACGATAAGTTCATAACGTCCTAAGAAAACAACAAATTAAGCTCGCTCCTAAGTACGGGATAATTTATAAAATAAATAAGTAATTCAAACACGAAATACCAAATTTCGTTCAGAAGTCGTCCAAACCTCATTATTTCCAGACTGTTTAAGCGGGGCGACCCCCCGGGGGGTATCGTAAATCTATTCCCGTTAGGTTTTGTTCGGAATTTGTGCGATAAATATGTTAGGTTTAGTGCATGTAGCGCACTGTGTTGAAAACTAGAGTTTTCACTACATGAAATCGTAATTAATACTAAAATAACTAGTATACAATTTTTAGCACACGGGCGGGGCTCGAACTCACGATAACGAGGTTACGGAGATTTGCTCTGGTTAAGCTACCGCATCGAACGCACGCAGTAGACAAATATCGTTTCTTTTTAGTTCTATATAATAAATTGTATTTTAATTGCTATTGTAATATGTATGTACTCGTTCCATTCGTAAAAAAACCTCAACGAAGTGTTTTGTTTCTTTTATACTACCTATATACCTGTGTATGCATATGTAAAGCTGAAGAGTTATTTTGTTTGTTTGTTTGTTTGAACGCGCTTATCTCAGGAACTACTGGTTCGAATGGACAAATTCTTATCGGTAGCTCAATTAATTAGAGCAACAGTACGAAGCGCTGTGGATGCCGGTTTAAGTCCTGCCTCAGTCGTAAATTTTTCAATTTGAAAAATTCTAATCGTTCATATTTCTTTTTTACTTGAACTACTTAAATATAAGTCCCATCGTGCATAGAAAAGAGCGTTTAAACTTAGACCCACCATGCTTCTTCATAATGGATTAGGGGGCTTTGTCGACGAAACGATAACAGCTAGATGCGATGGATTTTTACATATTTTTGACAAGCTCATCGGTGTAGTGGTAGAAATGAATGGATGTTGTTGTTTGTTTGTTGTCCAACATGTTTCCAATAAAGTTATAATTTTTCTAATGCACCGTCTGGAGATCTAGATATTAAATCGGTGGTAGGAATATCAATATTATCTCACGGTAACCAAGCACCGTCAAAAGATGAAAAAGCCATCAAGTTTAATCGCGTTTCCAAAACCAAAGCAAAAATAGGCCGACAGCGCACCTTGTTTGGATGTTATAAGGCCTGAAAGTGTGCTATGAAACGTAATATTAATGTTGCTGTTAACCTATGCGCAATTTAACATAATATAATGAATGTTCTAATGAAGCTCTGCGCTGCTTAATTGGAAGTTATTATTACATTACTCTGATCTCCAATTAGAATCCAGTGTTCTTTCTCGTGCGAGTGCGAGAGAATAACAAGTTAAAACAAGGAACGGGTTACCTCGAACAATCAAGTTTAAAGAATATATATCGCGTTTTAAACCGTTAAAGTGTCTTATTTAAACGATTGTAAGGGTTTCAAACGTATATGTGACGATAAAATAAAGTAGTGTCCCAGACACCTTCGATATTTTGACTGAACCACAGACTGTAGTCTATAGCCTTTTTTGATAAATGATCTAACGAACGCAAAACGATTTTATTCGAACTCGAACCCGTAGTTCCTGAGATTAGCGCATTCAAACAAACTCTTCAACTTTATATATTAGTATAGATATAGATTAGTTTCATAAAATATATTAGTTTACGTATTTCTATTTTTTAATAATATGCATGTTTAATATATTTTATGCAAGGAATAAAACAATGTACATAATTCGTCTTAGGGGTTTATATATTACAAGCTTAATTAATTAGTAATTATCATATCTTTCATATAAAGCACTATTTTGTTAAAATTTCTTGTGTCAATAAAGGTGTTCGTATATAAGCCCATTTATTACATAGTAAGATAAAATTGTTTTTTTTTTTTTAATTTATTTCAAAGGTCTACAGAACTAAGCTTTAATATACAGACATGGTATATGTAGATATAAATAAATGGTATAATAAAAATAATCCTAAAAATTATGTTTATTAATTTGTAGACACGACACGAAAATGTTTCGTTATTATTGATGATTTTAACTTTATAATACCTGTATTATGTTATGAGAGACTTAATTTGATCTCGTAACGTTGTCGATGTCAATATATTTCGCGACGTGTTCTGTGGGATATGTCAGTAATTTACACGTTATTTGATAGTCGGCGACGTGAACATCGAATAACTTCGCTTCAACATCCACATAAGGTTGCCGAGTTATGCAATAATATTATGTTAGTAAGTTATTGATTTGACTACTTTAGAATTAGAAATATTTCTACTTTATTCTAAACATAAAAATAAAGCGTGGTGAAATAAATTATCATGGAATTATTGTGTTCAGTTTTTCAGTTTATTTTACGTATTCACCTAAAATTATCTCATATTCTGATAATGTTTATAAAGTTTATTTGACAAATAAACGAGTTCTCATCAGATGTGGGTATGCACAATTAGGTAAATTCTCTTTACATTCTCTCTATTTTCTCTTTAAATTCTCAGTATTTATATATGTTCTGTGTATTTATAGACAACATTGTAGCCTGCATATGGATAATATTTGATATAGGTTAAGCATCATCATAAATCATAATATTTAATTTCGCCGTGGAACTTCGATGCTATCTTTATACGCGACAGTTAAAACAACAATAGCGAGGTGGAGTGTTAGCGAAGCTTGATGGGTAATATATGTTTTGAAGAGGGTCGCTCTGAAGGCAGCGGCGGACGGCGTCGCAGCGGGATGCGCGCGGCTGCGACGTCGATACGCGCAACGGTGTGACGTCGGTGCGGAAGGCCCGCACGCGCACTGCGCCCTCTCCTTGTCCCCAACCTCGGAAGGCATCGCGACGCACGTCAGCTCGTCCTCTCGGTGACTCTTCTCACCGATACGTGATACCACATCTCATACGAATCGCTCTCGCGTCTCCGACAACCACCAGTGTACCCAAACCTCGTTATATTTAGCCAGTGTTGATCGTTGCAATTCTCAGTTTTGGTGAAAACAAACATCGCAAAGTGAAACTCGCGCAGGCGCGCCGTCATGACGAAAGCGGCCATCTTGCTCGAGGACGCACTTTCGCCTCGCCCTGCACGAAGATTTTGATTCTTCCCCAAATCGTGGCACGGCAGAGAGATGCGATGCGGGTCGGCACGGGCGACGGGCGACCTCTGAGCGACCGGCGCGTCGCGCCATCGATCGGACGGAGCGCGATGGCGCTCGCGAAGTGAATGCGGATTTCGAGGTCGCATCGTTCTCGCGTGGATCTTAGGGCTCGCCGAAGCGACCAGGAGTGCGCGAGGCATGTAAGGCGGGTAGAGGAGGCTCGAAGGGCGCGCGGGCGGCGGCGGGCTCGGGTGACCGCGCGCCATGGGCGACGAGTACGCGCGCTCCCCGTGCGAACGTTTCCCGACGGTGGGCGCGTTCAGCGTGGCCCCGCCGGAGCGGCTCAGCCCGCCGCCGCCCGCGCCGCTGCCGGACCGGTTCTCGGCCTCGCCGCGGCGTGTGCGTCGGACTGCGGAAGCGGAACGGGCGAGAAGACCACGTTATGTGCCCCCCGCGGCGCACGTCCCGGTGGAGCGGTACGTGCCGCGGCCGCCGGCCCCCATCAGGGCTCCGCCGCCGGTGTACTGTGGACTGGCGTGTCGACCACCTCCGGCGGCCAGTCGCAAGTGTTGTGGTCCAGCATGTCGCGAGGAGATGGGCAGCTCTCCGCCGCCGCGCTACGTGGAGTACGTGAGCGCGGCGGGCGCCAGGCGACTAGCCTGTACGCCACCACCTCCGCCGCCGCCTGCGCTGCAGCTTTGCGACCCGCAGGAACCGCCTTGCTGTGCACAAGCGAGGAGGAGAAACCAACAAGCACATGACTGGTGAGTAGTCGTAGAATTATGTTATCGTTTGATGTTATGAAACGTTACGACGCTACGTAGATGCAAGTACCGAATCAAAATTAAATTAACAAGTCACAAGATTGTAACAGTAATGTCCAAAAGCGATCGAATCGGTTTCCCATTTTACACGCACCAAATGTCATAAAAATAAATTAAACGTCGAGAACGAAAGGGTTGAAACCACATATGCCGTGAGCATGCGAATGTGAATTGTTCTAATTGGCCAATATTTTATGGTTCGAAATGATAACGCTTGATTGATGAGTTGGCGCTTCCTAACGAGGTTTGCGAAATTCGGTTAATCCAATCGATGTTGCCAGCGACTTGATTGGCTCCCTTCTTTTATATTTTTATATAGTATGTATATAATCGGCCTTTACTCTATCCATTCCCTATTTTGCTTTGTACTGGAGACAATTTTTTATGATAGACGAGGACAGGGAAGTGTGGCCTTGATAAAAGGTGAAATAGCTTAAATCTGAAACATCTATTTTATTTGCTTAATTGCTTTGCATGTTGGACCTCAAGAGAATCGAATCCACAACCACGTTGTATACATGCTACCATTAGACCAACGACTACCAAATCTATGTAGTGCAAAGCAGTTGCGTGATTAAAAATATAATTATTACTGATAACAGTGGGCGTGTTATGTGTAAATATTTTGTTTTCAAAACGAATTTATCACCTCGCTTGATCCTCATAGAGACGGTTGGGTATTTTAATTAACCCAGCGTCTTGAAGTCGAAGATAATTTTTCTCTAAAGACCGCGGCATTTTCTAATATCTAGGTTAAATGTGACGTTCTACTTATATCAAATACACGAGTTCAAAGTCGTTAATCTTTTCTATAACGTTTTCTTATCTGATATCTTACTTGGTGATAACGCGATTCACCTCAAAGGAATTCTTAGTTAGTATTGTATTTAAAGGTGGAAGTGTCCGTTTTCGGGTTTCATAAATGTTCGTGTTTAAATGTAATCGTATTAAGTTGTTATTTATCGTATAAGTTAACTATGATAAAAGGTGGAAGTAATAATGGATTCCGATAATTTGAAACGGTAAGTTGTTTGTTGAATTAAAATGAAATCCTATTTCTGGAGAACGATACAAAGATGAAGTTCCTCAACCATATAAAATCTAAACAAGATGCGCTATCAATCTATTTTGGTTTTGGATATTTGGAAATCCACATACTGAAACTGAGACCTAAATGCGATTAAACTTCACGGTTCTTTTAAATAAAACACTTTAACGGTTCAAAACGCCATATATTAGTTAAATTTATTTGAAAATGATATTAACTTCGGCCCGACGTTTCGGATGCTTTGCAGCAGCCGTGGTCACGGGGAAAATAATTTTCAAATAAGTTCAATTAATATATCGCGTTTTAAACCGTTAAAGTGTTTTATGTGTGTTATGTGTACTACTCGCGTAAAGTATAGACAGTATTCACGGTTTTTTTCAAAGTGGACTATGGGTCCGTGACCCGGACGAATTTTCGATAGTTCTACCACCTACTTAATAAACAGACGAAGACCAACATGTTTCAGAAATATTGATTATTCAAATAAAACATTTTTAAACGTTTAAAATGAGAAAAGTATTAGTCAAACTTATTTACACATTATTTAAACTATGCTCCGACGTTTCGGATGGTTTGCAGCAGCCGCTTTATTTTGTAAGTTTAAACAATAAATTTCCCGTTTTTTACCATTAAAAGTGCTTCATTTTAATGTGTTTTACTCGCGTAAATTATTGACAATACTTAATATTAATTATTGAATAGTATATATAAAATAGCTTTATGTATATACGTTCCCTAGTTAAGTGTATGTTCAGAATTGTTTTTCCACGCAGTCAAGTGTAACGTAATATTAGAATGGCTAGATCAAATTGTTAGAAGCCCTGATGTTTAAAGTCTCCAAGGACACTCACTGGCTTCTTATCATGACCTCGCTGCACCCCTTTTAATCCTTTAAGCCTTCTAACGAAAAACTCAAGTCCAGAATAGTCCACCATACTCTTTTTTGTAAGCTTTTCGTTTTAAGCTGTCTAATCGCGTTCAGTTGATGTTGAGGATTTAATTTTTACTGTTTAATTATTTTCTTGTAATTGTATAAATCAATCTATACTTAATACAAAAATTATTTTGAAGATGTAGAATTACATAGTTCAGTATAAGAATAAACACACTTTTTATACCACACGTTTCAGCTAACTTAATATATACGTGTCTAATGTATAGGCACACACAGGATAGACAAATACTGTCGCTGATATTATTTTAGATGATTTGAAGAAGAATCGTTCTTTCATACATATTTTTTGGTTATCTTGAACCGTTTTCTCAGCGCACGCAACGGAAATCCCTAATGATGAATCATTTTCCCCGTGTTTTCCACATTTCCCACTGGTACCACGTTTCCATCGGTAAATCGATAAATGCTCTAACTAACCCAAAAAGATTTTTTCCATTCGAACCGTTTGTTCCCAAGAATAGCGCGTTCAAATAAACAAACATACTCGCCAGCTTCAGTCTTTCAAAAGGACGTAAAAATAATTACCAAATAAGTCTAACTAATATATATCGCGTTTTAAACTAAAGTGTTTTATTTAATACTACTCGCGTAAACTATAGAAGTATCTGCACTGTACTCCTCTCGTTTGTCGTTGGTAAAGCAGCTTTTCATTTCATAGATTTGCATAATACGTCGAAACCAGTAATCATTATTAATTATATTATTGTTCGCGGACCGTGAACATGGGCATAAATTAAAATCTAATGTCAAAGTAGGTTATCGATTACTAGGTCATTAATCACATTCGTAGCTAATTTATAGAATGCGATGAGTTGCATTGAGCATGGTAGGGCCAAGGTTCGAAACTCGGTAACATAAAAAGTATTTGGTGGAGGTTCTTAACATATATTCCTTACATACCTATACATAACTGACCAGCTACGCCTGCGACTTCGTCCGCGCAAATAACCCTCTGAGCTATATAAATTATAGCTGTCGCTTACGACGTCTTCCGCGTCCCGTCGTTCTTGCGAGTAAATTTTAAAAGATAGAGAGACGTATGTGCGTAAGCCTTTCTCGATAAATCTTCAATTTAAACCAGTAATTTGTAGACCAGCGCGGTCAAACAAACAAACTCTATAGTATTGTAATATAAGTACCTATAGATATAGATCAGTGAAACGAATGAATTAAGATGTTTGCAGGAAGGTTGAAGGGAAGGATGTTCACTAGTGTCATTAATCACTCGTTTATTTGGATTCAAACCAAATAGGAATAAGTTATTGTACAAATATTGGGCTCGATTATTTGTGAAAAATTTACTCACAATTAACAGGTACGACAAATTGGACTAGAAACACATAACACGAACAACAACAACGACAAATAAAACGAAACGAGTTGTTATTTGTACAACACATCGTTTATTGACGCAGATGATCACCTGCCTAGCATTATGTTAAGCAAGAGAGGTCCTGGGTTTGAGTCTCGGTACATGCATAGGTCAAGTCTGATTAAAACCCCGTTTTCCCAATGTGGTATGAGGTTTGGTTTTTTTAATTAGAGTTTTGTGCCCTACCCGACTGTTTTTCTATCGTCACCATGTCATGTAAAAGCGACCCACATACTAGGTGAGATTTGTTTAATTATCATATTTTGTAAATAAATACGATTTTTTTTTCTACTCCATTCACGATCTCGTTGGGAAGACATTTTAATTTATTACATTGTGTAACCTGAATTTTATTTATTTGAATCTCAAATTGACATTGGCTGCAAATTTTACTGTACTAATATAAAAAAAATTATTTATATCTAATGTATAAAATTCTACTGTCTCAGTGTTTGTGCGCTTCCCTTAAACTGCTTAATCGATTTTAATGAAATTTTATATTCACTCGTTAGGCTTTTTATCTATATTTTGCCTCCTTCACTCATGTACATCCTAACACATTCACAATAAGTGTTTTTCTACCAAAGTATTCTCTAGAAATTCACATGGCAACACAACTATAGCTAGGTCAGCTAGTTGTTCTATTGAAATATCATAGAAAATATACACACACAACTTAGCTTCAATACAGACTTTCCAGAAATGAGTCGAAACCGAAAAAGTTTTTACATTTCCATGGAATTTTCTTTCATGTATTTCGCTTCGAGCAAGTGAAAATACGCCACAATAGAAAGCTAGGTGCGTGATTTATTGATGGTGTTAGTGAAAACGTAATGTGGACCAAAACAAGCGAATAAAGAAGATAAATGAATTACGTTCAGCAGCGCCGCCATTTGCAGTAAGTTCCTTTAAGTATCCGAGGCGCCTTTTAGTTTGAGTCAATAAAAATAAGCATCACTTTTATCATGTGAACCGTTTATTATCCAACGTTACGTTGTTTCCTTTTATGCTAGGCGATGTAAACTATCAATCTGCTAATTTAATTGAATTTTTAACAGTTTAAAACGCGAAATATTAAAGTTAATAATATAATAGTTAATATATTGATTACGACCCGACGTTTCGTAAGCTTTGTATTTAGAAAAAACTTTTACGTTTAATATCCGCGATGTATTCCTTAATTCTGTTAGACGCGCTACGTTTCGTAAATGCCTGTACCTTTTAGATCAGAATTCCGATTTGGCTTTCATTTAAAAGTATAACGTGTAAATATGTTTGTTAGGTTTTCTAGTAGTAATATTAAGATAATATATTTTTTTTATGATAGAGGAGCACGGTGTTACCAAGATGGTGAAACACCTGCGCTATATAACGTCTTAACAACGTGCCCTGTCGACATATTTTTGCTTTGGATATTCGGAAATGCACAGACTGAAACCAAAACACGATTAAACTTCTTTTTTTTTTTGTAAATGTAAAAATTGCTACGCTAGCGCCATCTGTTCCGTCGTAGTTGGTCTTGTCCAACTGTTTATTAATAATCTGTGGTCTAAGCCCTATTGAATACGC